ACACGGGCACACACACAAGATGATGAGAATCAAACCCCAAATTGTACGATTAATGGACATTGTTCCTCCTACAGCCGCCCCACACTGCTGTGTTTTTCTTTCGAGACAATATTGGCCCTACAGTATATCAAAAGGCCAATATGTAAATGCACTTTAATCCAATTACCGTGTCAATTACCATTTATTTGTATCATGGATTACTCTACAACTTCAACAACATCTTGTTTATGATACAGTACATGGTGCTTCAATACCATTTGCATGAAAAAAAAGAATGTAAAAACAAAGATCCATGACTTCTACCTAATCAGGCCTCCACTTTGATGAGAATTGCAAATGATGACAACATGCATAAAGCTGCCCTCTCAAATCAAACAAGCCTTTCAGGATGATATTTACCCAGGGGAGAGGAGGTATTCTAGCCGCTAACATTGAATCATACACTTATTTATGCAGCCATGAAAGACCACCACAAAAAAGCTTCAGAATTAATTAGCTTGGAAATGAAAGAGAGGGACAGAGCTATAGAGTGAGAGATACAGCAAGGGGAAGGGAGAGAGGCGGACACTTGTTGACATTTGTAAGGGTTGGAAGCATCAAAGGCTCGACGCCTGTGATCTGCTGCTCGCTCACAGTGTTAACATGACGTCTTGGAGCAGGCATGCTTTCCGTCACTGATGGTGGAATCAAACATCTGAATGCAACTTGCATGTTTTCTACAAGAAACAAGTGTGCAAAAAAGAGGGAAGAAGTACACGTTTCTGTGTAGTCATTCCAACATGGTTGGTCTGGATAAAAACTGAGAGACGATATAAAGGGTCTCAATAAATACTACGATGTTAATCACTGTAAAAGTGTGATGTTTCTACTTACTACACACAACGTCATAATCTTAACACAGTGTCGTTTTGTAAAGGGAACAACTTAATGCTGACAGTTTATTTCAAAATAATTGGTCACTGTTTTATTTTGGACTGAAAGCACATCTTTTTCATCACTAAAATATCATTACTTGCATACCAATCAGCAAAAAACAATGTCCTATTTAAGCAGCAAAATACTATTTATTTCTCAATATTCAAAAGTTAGCCGAGCCATTCAGAACACTGTAAATGTTTATCAACCTTTTTGCGCATTAAAAAGTATCACTGTGGGTGTTTTTAAAAAAAAAACAAGCAAGGGTTTACCGTGGTCAACATATTTTGAGTCAACCCTGCTTCATTAATGCGGAAAAAAGGAAAGCATTATTATTTGTACCAAGAAAAGACAGAGTTCTCGTATGAGCATCTGGGACATTTTAGGGATATGATTTTTACATAAATGTCCAGAGAGACAGACGTAAAAAAGAAAAGCATCACAAAATAAATACGTCTGAGAGACATGAGAGGGGCTTAATGAAGTAGAATGGAATTGGACTTGACTGAGTTTACATTGGAACCCTGGGGGTGGACGCATGTTTGACTACCTTGGTTTACACAGAGAAATGACTCAGTGACCCACACACACACAGACAGACACACGCACACACACACACACACACAATTTGATGATGTATTCCTAGCATGGAAAGGAGGTTGTAGTGGTGTATTGATGCGGTTATGAAGTATGATTCAGAAACAAGTCTCACAGGTAGTAAGACACCAAGCTTTCCTTCAAAGGCTGAATGCGTGGGATTCACACTAAATATTTAACAAGAATATGAATTGTGATTGCAACCATCACTGCTATGTACGGCCTGTGTGAAAGCAGCTAATGATATCATTTCACTGCTTCTGTATTTGTGTTTCTCTTCTTCTAGTTGGAAAGAATGTATGCAGAATATAACTGCAATAACTGATGATCACATTGAGCGTGTTGAGCTTAAGATGGAACTGATTCTGAATGTTGTATTTTGTAAAACTATTCTTTATTTTTTCCCCCGTCGTTTTAGATTAAGGTGGAAAAAAATGCTGTCAGACAAACACTATTAGAACTCAATGTAAAATAAGTTGTCAATGAATTTCTACTTGTTAATTTAAAATTAAGAAGTAAACATTTACTGGTAGATCCTGTGTAAAGAGAAGTAACAACTACTGTAAGTGATAACATATCCGTACACAGTACCATTTAACAGCTGAACTGAATTGTTTCTCCTGTACATGTTTCATGTTGCCAGTAAACTCGATTGACTTGAGCTTCATTAAGCACAAAGCACTGCCCAAGGGAACAGTTGTATGGCTCATTAATAGGAACCCATTGTAGCAGCACTGGAGGGAAATCCAACACGTTTCAAATTAAAGTAAGTACAGATCATAAGTGCTCATCATTTTGTAAAACATTGCCAAGAACATGCCAGCTGCATATACATATCTTCCCTCTTTTGTTTTGTTAGAGGGGTATCAGGAGACACTTAAGCATGTTGGTACTGCTATCAGAAATGATAATCGCCAACAAGACATCTTTATAACGGATACAATTTCAGATTGAACTGTGTCTACAAGTGGATTTCACTTCCTTTATATTAGTTGACAAATTGGTGTCAGGTTTCCTGAGGAAGTCGTCTAGATAAACTCAACAACACCACGGTATTGCAGTGAAATCATAATTAAATATATCATTTTTAGTACATCATAAACACTCTAGTACCACTTTACATTATATACAGGAACAAGAGGACCAGAGAGTGTGTGAACGAGGAGGAGGTTTAAAAAGCAAGCAGACATAATGAGTAGAAAATGATAGAGTACAGTAGGTAATAGTGGGGGGGAATAAAAAGAGAAAAACAGGAAAAAGAATCAGACCCAAGGAAAGAAAAACAATGTGTGGCATCAGAGCCCTGCGTGCGTATAGCTCTAATGAATCTGCTCATTAGTATGAGTCTCATGGCAGATCACCCCATTAATAATCTATGGCTGCGATGGCGGCCATGACAGAGCGGAGGGGCCACAGGGATGTTGCCTCAGAGAGTGGAACCCTGTCACTTGCAAGAGCCTTGAGAGCGCTGTAAGACCCTGCGTGAGTGGATATATGCATCTATGATGAAGATAATGGAATAATACTCAGGGAACACATGGGGATGCTGATGGAGTTAGGCTGAGTGTCCCGATTCTCCATGTTGGAATTATTCACATAAATGCATTGTGTGAATTGGACACATTGTGTGTGCGTGAGCATGAACCCTAGTGGGCACCTTATTAACCGTGGCCCCTGATGGCTATTTGAGCCCCCAGGAGTCGAGCCAATTATTGAAAACACTAAACAATACACGCTTGAGACACGGAATAACAGCGGTAAATAATACATCATCATTTCTACCCTTAATGAATTATACATCTCTCTATGTTCACAACTGTTCACAGCGGGCTTGTATTTATTCATGTGTATATAATCGATCTCCACAAAGTAATTTGTGTGATAGATTCCATACAATGAACATATTTGTGTTGAACAGCATGCAAAGTTTGATAGCGAGGCAAGATTCAATGCATGCTGTGTTTTTTTGGTACAAAACAAGCACTGTATGCAGTGTGATCATAACTTTGTAACGATTTAATTGATAGTTAATTACATTCCCATGGAAGCTCATTGGAGAACTGCCTCCCTCTGATTTAACCTAAAATGGCAACAGAAACATTTGTCTAAGTTATTCAATCTAGGACTGCATCGACTGCTTAGTCATTTTCAATATGCTTCTTTTGTCTTTTTATCCAATTAGTTTGCTCTCAGTTTAAGATCATTTCATCAGCCATCTGTCAAATGCAATCTGTTTGGAAATATAGTTATACAGTAGTAAATATACGGAATATTCCTACTATTGTATGTGTTATTTAATATTTATTGCCTGTACAGCACTTTGGTCAACTGAAGGTTGTTTTAAATGTGCTATATAAATAAATAAAGATTGAGATTGATATTGAATACACCTGCAATGAATAACTTTGATAGTTAATAAAAACATGAATACAAAATGTGTTTGTTTATATTGCACAGGTGTTTTAACGGTTGTGATTCAATGATGTGGTGATTTGTGTGACAGAAGAAGTGAGGTCATTAACAGGTGTATAACCTATTGACAAATACTAGAACACATTATAATGCAAACCTGCATCCATGATCTTGTAACACTGAGCCCCCTCTGCTCAACACTTCCCTCAACAAAGTCAAGAAAGGCTTTGAATTATTTACTTCACTCCTCCAGAGAGGCTGGTAAGGGGCGCCACTGTTGGCTGTTGAATTCTTTCCAACACACTCACAGACACATCACCAAATATCATAATGTACTTTTCACTCTGGAAGCAAGAAAGTCATTCACTTGGTCTCTTTAAGACTAGATATGTTCACACACAGCTATTGAATCACACTTGTGTCCTTTTATTACATGTTTTCCAAACAAACACTAACACTTATGGATAAGGTTTCAAAAAGGACAAGGATGCATGGCAACCTTCGACAACCCACAAATAAAAGGGAGGGAGAAAAAGACTAAGTATAATCATAAGCGTACAACAGCAAAAAAGATGGATTGAAAAATAACATTCTCAACAGTAACTATCTATCTATCAGAAAGGACAAACAGATCAAAACAAGAACATTAAAGCAACATACCAATCACAGTAGGTGGATCGTTCCAAAAGGTCATGGAATAACAGTCAAAGTTATTGATAACATTTGACAGATACCAGCAAAGTGTTATAACCTAATTCTGAAAGATAAAGTGGTGAGTCCACAGTTACAATGTAGTAAAGGTTCAACTCTCCAACTCTCCAAATTACCACTTATTGATTTAGACAATTTGATGTAGCAGCTCAGGCAGCAAAAAAGGCAACAGTAGATGGAGACTATTTATTTTAAACAAACTGTTCAGGTAACACAATTAACTCTCAATACATAAAACAAATCCTTACTTATCTCCCAATCGAACAGATAACCAAAAACCAAACTAAGCAACTAGCCAATCGCCAAACCAATCATCTGTACAGCAAGTAAAACACCTGGAAAAAAGCAACCTCCTCCATCCTTACCTTGGCAATCTGGACACACCAATTGAGCAGCAGCTGTGATCCGATGTTGTCCTTGTGCTCATGGACGTAGTCGAGCAGGCACCCATGAGGCATCAGTTGTGTGACCAGCTGGATGGTGGGACTCAGGCAGACGCCCAGCAGGCGGACCAGGTGGGGGTGCTCCATGCTCGCCATGATGAGGGCCTCCTGAACGAGACAGAGACACACTCAGGCATGTGGGGGCAAGAGTCAGGGGGACAGGTTGATATGTGAAATAATGAGGAATGTAACGATACTTTGTGTGATGGTTAACGAGCTATGAATTTGGGGTGATTTAAAGGTAATTCCGATAAGTCGCTCATATTACTTGGGTCATTCACATTAAAGTAACATATGGATCATTTATTACATCTGTAAATAAACTGGATAGAGCAGTTTCACGTTACATTCAGTGTTTTAGACACAGAGAATGAACAACAACAGAAATATTGAATTCAGTTTTTTGGTATTTAATTTAAATGTTATTGTTATATAATGTATTTTTGGATTAAGAAAATATAAGAAACCTCTAATAAATTGGGAGTTGATTGTAACTTTACATCTCCAGAAAACTTGCGTGGAAACAAATAGCACTGTATGAACATACAGTGCTATTTTAAATCTTAGACAAAAGCCAACTGTTGTAACAAAACACCAATAGAATACATTACTGACATGGTGTTGTTGTTGTTGTCTTAGCTAGTTGTGTGCGTTTTTGACCTTGAAATTCAGTTTCAAACCTCGGCACCACTGTGTTATTGTTTGAATAAAGCTGTACATGGACCCTTAGGCCCCGTCCACACGGAGACGAAACCGATTTCGAACCAAAGTCGATTTCAAAAGTATTCCGTCCACACTGGCTCAAGAAATGTGTCCGTCCAAACGAAACCGCTCGAAACTGCTGGAGACGCTGTAGTACATATGCCGGGCCAGTAAGTGGCGCTGTACTTCCGCCACAAAATACACCAAAAGCAGCGAATAAGATCCCCCGAGCATGGGCATATAATATAATAAGGCATAAACAAACAAACAAACAAGGTAGAAGATGGCGGATATTCACTCAAATCTGTATCATGGTCAGTAGCGTCTGGGGCACGAACGCAACCCTGTGATCCGCCATTGTTGTTGTTGTTGGCAAAACGCATCAGCAATGACGCGGGGGTGAGCAGGAGAGATGGGGAGAGGCGGGTCTATGGCGTCATCGATTCAGGAAAATATCGTATAGGGCGTACACACGGAGCCGCAAGCGTTTCGTCTCCAGACTTACCCACTTTGGGAGCCGGTTTCAAAGTGTATCGGTTTTGGGCTCCGAAACCGCGGCTCCGTTTCGGCTTCGTGTGGACGAACCATCTATACGATAAAGAACTTTAGCGGATACAACTGAAATCGTCTCCATGTGGACAGGGCCTTAAAATCCTGATGCTTAACACCGGTGCGGTTTGCAGAATCAGAACCATAAAATATATCTATGTGGAAACAGATACCATATTCTAAATGTGTTACATTGAGATCAAACAGGTAGGCTTCCAGTTGGTGTAGGAGGACAAATGCCTGAGCAAGAGTTCAAAGGCTCAGACCACAGGCAGAGATTTTATCGTGTTTACAAAACTGAACTGTCAAAGACCATATGTTCCCTTATTCTGCTTAATGCAGAAGTTTCCCTCAAAGCTGGCAACACAATTTCACAGAAACAGAAGATTTGTATTCATAACCTCAACATCAAAGTGACCCACTGCTTCATAAGACTGTCAGCTTGCTTTGTAGCAGACTAAAATATAAAATGTAGGCCAAGGTGAGATTGCTGTAAATCATGTGTCACTGTGCTTTAATGCCACACACAGTGAGTGAGTTGTGTTCTTCAACAGGTTTGGTCTAAAGTGTTTCTGTAAGAAAATATTCACCAGTGTAGAAAATGCATATATAAAGAATCTGCTAATGCATATTATTTGAAAAGCTTTGAACTTGCCTGTAGTTTCAACATCTTTAAATGCGGCATTTTTAGAACAAGAGCAAATATTTTAATTAGTTTGCAATACTGAATTTAAAAGGAGGATCATAAAAACATTTGTAAGACGCACACACAAACACACCCAAGCGCACACACACACATGCACGGACACACACACACACACACACACAATTTATGGGTGATTATGACGATTCATCATGAGATGGACAGCTGTGCAGCAACAATACACAACAACAGTGGGTGTGCTTTGTGTGTGTGTTGGGGAGAGACATATATGCAGTATGAGGAGGTCCAGTGAACACTGACAGATGTTTACAACCCACAACACATCCGAGCATTTACAGTCACAACGCATGCATAATCAGATCTCTGCTCAAGACTTTAGCATTATATAGGGTATGGTAAGGATAGAGGACAGTATGTAATGCTACTAAATCTGGATGACTCTAGGTATCCCCAATTAGTTAGATTCTTAGTTTTAGGTAAATATACCTTAATGAAACAATAGTTATAAACATTATAGTACAGTTTGCTAAATGTTCCTTCCTTAATCATACTCACTGGCCATTTAACTTTGATATGCCTTGACATATATAAATGTAAAGGGAGGGGATCACGACATACATGAATAGATTACAATCTGTGAACTGAATTTTTACGAATAAGAGACCATACAACTTAGCATTCAAAGTTAAATATGTATATATGTTCATTTAACTGATCAACGTTTTACCTTGTTGTTGTGATATCTTGTTTTAACAGTTACTTGTATAATTGTATTTGTATCATTCTTTTGTGAACTCTTATCTGTACTGTCCTGTATTTGACTCTTACTCTGTTGCTGCTTTAACACCTGAATTTCCCTACAGGGATCAATATAGGTCCATCTTATCTTGTTCTTATTTTGTACCGTATATTTTCAGAGTTTGATATATTACAATAACACAGAATGGACATTTCACACACTCAGAATTACAGAAACAGCTGTTACAGAAAACATTCTATTAACTTGTTGACTTCAAAACGGACTGCTTCTCAGGTCGATTTTTTTAAAGGTTGTAATTATAACTGATTGATTTTTATTAGATTTTAACAATAATATAGCAACAAAACACACTCATTTGTGGGACATTTAGTGTGTTTTTAGGACATTCAAGGCCTAATCAAATTATATTCAATCAAATAAACGTTGAAATATGGCTTGAATTACACAACGAATCGATTTATGTCAATGGATTATAGATGTATCAAATAGCCGGTATGTCTATTTTCTTGATTGATGGCATAGAACGGATGAAAAAGAGGTGAACCCTTGTTCACTTAACATTGAATATTGTTTGTTTTGATACGTTTTGAAGGTGGCAAAAAACAGGATCAAATTGTAAACATCTCAAAACACACTCATCTATTTTTAAAGGACACTTCTTATATTGATGTACAATATTTTCAAAGCACTGTGTAACCTTTGAAAAGTGCTATATAAACATGGTGTATTATTATCGTTTAGAAAAAATACTGCATGTTTTTATTTTACTCAAGTTCTCCGGTCTGTTTGTTGCTCATATAGAACAAATATTGAGCAAAACATTATTGAAAAGAACGGAAGATAATCTTCATACACACGGGGAAACTGCATCAGTGAATTCAATTTCCAAGGACAGACCACAAGGGTTTCTGCTGCTTCAAAGAAAACAAGCCCTGAGCAGGAATTTGTCTTTCAAAAGAGAAAAGACATACTGAAGCATGACCTGTCTGCCTGTAGCCTCTTTATGATTAAAATACACGCACAAACACACACATGTACACATGTAAATGCAAACCTGCTGGGTACTGACACCCTGACAACCTGTAAGGCGCTAGCAGCAGGGAGCCAGTGTTGGCATTTTGTTGCTGGTGCAAACATTTTGGATAATGTGCTGTTGACAAGGAGACTAACTCTCCTCTGTTAAGTGCTCCACAGGTAAGGAGAGGGAAACTCTACACAGAAGCACACACACAAACGCACACTAAAGGACAATCAATACTCGGTGACATTCTTCAAACAGTCAGTGGCAACTGAGTGTAGCCTGAAGCTAGAAGGTCAACAGTCAGAATTCCCAGTCCGACTGGGCACATATGGATGGTTGAAGTAAATGAATTGAACTCTCCTTTCCCTCAGTAACTACCACTAATGTTCCCTGGAGCTGGAGCGGAGCCTCCAGCTGCTCAGCAGTCAATAAAGGAAGACTGTGCAACTACATGAATGAAAAGTCAGGAAGCACTGGGAAATACATGGAGAAACGCAAAAGGAATAGACCAAATATCATCATATTTGCTCAGTATTTATGTGTGACTTACTGCCACTGTTATTATTAATTGTATTTAAGGTTAACATTGCTTTCTTGCTAACCCAATCACAATATATCCACTGCTGTTTGTTGTGTAGTCAGTTACATAGATTCTTGCCAGCAGTAACGCAATCTGAATTGTTAACATTATCCCTGCTTCTGTTATTGAATTAACAAACACAGAAAAATAATAGTTTGGTGAATTTGACTATTGTTCTTTACAGAACTGTGAGGTCTACCATGTCATGTAAATTAGCATTCTGAGCTATGCATGCAAATTCTGTCACAAAATCACAGTGAGGTTTGAATGGTGGGTTGGGGGTGAGAAGCTGTCTTTTTATCATCGCACGCACACACACACACACACACACACACACACACACACACACACCACACACACACACACACACACACACACACACACACACACACACACACACACACACACACACACACACACACACACACACACACACACACACACACACACACACACACACACACACACACACACACACACACACACACACACACACACACACACACACACACACACACACACACACACACACACACACACACACACACACACACACACACACACACACACACACACACACACACACACACACACACACACACACACACACACACACACACACAAGATTATATAGGATTGAAATGCATGTTTGTCTTGCGAGTACATGCATATGAACCATTTAGACTTTTATATCTCTATTCCTCTAAATCATAAAGCCCCAATCACCCATTTTGTGTGCCCCTATGTGTTCTTTTATTGTATATATCTGGTTCTTTGATTGTCAGACAAGCCCTCGAAGCACACAGAGCATTAGTTTAAACACACACGGGATATTCATCAAAGATCTCCTGATAAAAATAGATGTGCTAACATTTCAAAACTCTCCCTTCTAGACTGTCAAACTAAGTTTAAAACATGAGTGCAATTGGGTCGCTTTACATGTGCGTGTGCCAATGTGTACGCGTGTTGATGGAGGTTATTTCATCTGCATTGCATCATCATAGGATGATCATTTAGATTTTTTTTCTTCCCCTTTTCCTTTTGAAATGAGCCGTGCTGTGAATGTTTCATGAATGGGGCCTTGTGCACTGTGCCTGTGGCATGGTGTGTGTGTGTGTGTGTGTGTGTGTGTGTGTGTGTGTGTGTGTGTGTGTGTGTGTGTGTGTGTGTGTGTGTGTGTGTGTGTGTGTGTGTCTGTGTGTGTGTGTGTGTGTGTGTGTGTGTGTGTGTGTCTGTGTGTGTGCGTGTGTGTGTGTGTGTGTGTGCTGTGGTCCTAGGGGCCCCTGATGGTTTCTATTCTGGTGTCTATGGGGTCTAAACTTAGTTCCTCATTATTTCACTAACAGATATTTTGTTAAGTTTTGCTGTCTTTTAAAATGACTGAGAATTAGTTTAAATTATCTGGTGATAGCTTTTAAGATGGTGTTATTCCAACATGTGTCACTATTGGCCAAACAGGCCACACCTTTGAAAACAATCAATAGAAGAACAAATTAATTGAGAAAATTGTGTTTTTGATGTCTGTTTTATCTCTAGATCTTCAGGATACTCACGTCCATGAACTCCACGTTAGCCTTGGGTCCTGTGGCCTCACTTAAGATTTTAATGGCTACAGGAATCTTCACCGTTTCACCCTCTGGGACCCAAATACCCTAAAGAAACACACAGACAAATGATGAATGGTTATACTGAATGCAAAGTCAAAAAACTCCAATTTACCAACATCGTATTAAATGAATGATATTAAGATTTAAACAGGAGGAATCTCCATTAATGAAGTTTTCACCTTGAATTCTAATTGCTATTTCTTAATAACCGTCTTCTATATGCTCAGTGGCAGAGCATGCTGTATGATTAACTGTGATTTTACCCTTCAAAAAAAGACTTCGGCAAAACTATTTAATCATTTTGAAGTATCTAATTTCAGGTGGGATTAAAGTGATTTAGCAGCTGTCAAAGTGGTCAAAGCATTTAAAAGAGGAGGGAAATCAAGTGTCCCTCAAATGTTTCAAATGTGTCCCACCTTTGTTCTGACTTGACACCTCCCCAGTGAGAGCAGCCACCTCTGCTCACAGTTAACACACCTGTCCTCCCAGGGCTGTCATTTCAATGATGATAGCTGCTTTTGAAACAGAGTCTTTCTACCTGCACTTGTGAAGATGATTATTATTCACCGGAATGTATTGCAATATTTCTGTATCCAATTTCGACAGTATTTTGATTACCACTGACTCTGTTCTTGTGTTTTCAACCTCACACTAAATGAGCTCTAAAAAATACAGTTAAAACTACAAACAGTGAAATGGTGCTGCTTATGACCCCCGAAGGAGACTGCGGTGTTTCTTTAAATGTTTCCCTTGTATTCTTGCCTGTTAAATACATGTGAATGCAAGTCTTTACCTCATTAACATCTTCACTGTCCATTATAAACCTGATTGTCATGGAGCTCAATGATCAACATTTTCCCATTCTAAGCACATCATCATCCACCACGTCCAGGTCAATTGGTGAACTGAGCCGGGTGAGGATTAAGAAGATGCCTCAGGTGGAAAAGTCATTGCTTTTCACTTCAATACATTTTGTGCATTCCCAAACGCATCTTATTCTTAATAAAATATTCATGCCTCCCATTTGAAAAGCAGATTTATAGAGACATGTTTTTAAACCTGAGAGGTTCTCAGACTACAATTTTACAATAAGGATACTACCTCAACCTGAGATATAGTGTGAACACAATGGACATTAGTTTTGCTCTGCTTTCATTAAATGGCCAGTCAATCTCCGAAGGAAATGTAACATCTGTTAATTTTCTTCTTTGTGTTTTCAGACTTGCCTGCACTATACGTGCATGTTGCCATGGCACCACTACCGGTCAGAAACCCTACAGGGTACCTTTAGCAGCTCAACACTTAACAGCTGGTGTAATGAGAAGTGAGCCGCAATAAAAAACACTCCATTTGCAAGTCAATCAGAAAGCTGACCCTCAACATTAGCCATGGTCTCAGAGTTGTGCTTGAAATAATAAGATGGTGCAATCAAGCTGCTGATGTAATGAGATCCTGCTGCCAGGAAGCATCTCAGCATCAGAACACTGCTCCTCAGGCCCGAGAGGAAGCAGAGGAGGAGAGTTAGGAGCTCAGTGCTGGAATGTACATTAAGTCAAGTATTGCACCCGAGTAATAATTTGACATACTTGTACTTGACATGTTATGATATTTATACTCCACTATTTCAGAGGGAAACAGTGTACTTTTCACCTAACTACATTTATTTAACGTTCATAGTTACTATCTAAACACATGATTTCCTCTATTATATGATTTTAATGAACCCAGTATGTACTTATAATTGGCTCAACATATGGTTTGAAATGCTTTGAAATGTATTTGTTAGTGATTCAAAACAAACAAATAAAGGTTTTTTTCTATAATAATAGAAAACTGTGAAAAGAGACATTCTGCCCTTTGAGTACTTTTATTTTTGATACTTTAAGTACATTTTGCTCATAATACTTCTGTACTATTACTCAAGTAGCGTTTTCAATGCAGGCCTTTCACTTGTAATCATTTAAGAGTCGGACACTTTTTTCACAATTTTCTCTGATGTATCATTGCCACCAAGATAACATTTCTGGGTTGTAGTGCTAAACATTAAACTCTGAATGGACAATATATTCATACACGCCTAGGAGGAACATGTGTGTGTGGGAAATGTGTGAGATGTTGCTTTGAAAAAGGACTTTTGCGCTCCCGCTAACTTACCTCTGACCCAGAAATGTGTTATAATGTGAATGGATGTACAAAATGACCAATGATGATTTCAGCAAGATAGTCTGTTCTTTCTCATTTCAGCTGTGTCTTTCTCTACCTCTCCACATCCCATCATCACACTGGTTGTGACCTCAGATACTTCTTATTTCACTGTAACCTCGGGGGTCTCAGTATCTGCTATTACTTATTCTTTTCATCACCCGCCTCCAGCCTTCCATCTCATTTCCTGTCATTAATGATCCTGCAATTCATCTCTCTTGTCGTCTCCTTTTTTCATTATATCACATTATGATCTCAACTTGAGGGTTTTTTCATATTTTCTCCCACCAATTACCAACAGAAACACATGCAAAGAGTTATGACTTTTTTGTGTGATTTACCTTGTAAACAGTCCCAAAGGCCCCAGAGCCGAGGATCTTGACCCTTTTGAGTTCGGTCTCTTTCAGGATGCGAAGCTGAGCTTGGTTTGGCGCTGTTCCACTGGGTGTTAGAGGCTCCACCAGCTAAAAACACATCAAATATCACAAAAGCAATTTAATCATTGCCTACTGTAACCCACAGCATATGACACAAGCTCCAAACAATGAGATCATTTTGTTTTTCAGACAGCCGCTCTTGTAAAGACAAGCAATTACATATAATTGACCTTTAGGATAAAACACGAAACACGTCCATGCTCAAATGTTTACTTAACATACTTTAATACTTAAATTAAATAACCATTTTCCAGTAAAATTGCATTAAGAAGTACACATTCAATTTCCTATTCCTATTATTCAATACTGTTCAAGTGAAAAAGGTTGTTTCCAAAAAACTATGAACTAATTTCAAGGAAGTCCTGCTGTGAAGCTTTTATCATGAATTACAATGGATGTACTCCCAATTGATGTATTCTTCAAATAAGAATAATTTATTGAAATGGTGAAATTTGAATGCAATATATAATGCATCCTTTGAAACCTGTTGATCTTATCATGCATACATAATCTTAGTAAGTTACTTTTCAGTACATTAAGGTTACATTAACTTTTTCAACAAAACAGATCCAATCCCTGGAGTGCCATTACCATTTCAATATCACAAGTGAGAGATTTAATATGGGAACAGTGGATGGAGGTCGGTGGACGAAGATCGAGAGAGATGGGTGGAGGGGGGGTAGATAATTGCGAAGTCTGAAAAGGGATTGACACTTTTGTGGTCTCATTACTCCTCAAGTGGAGGGACGAACAGATTTAACAGCCAGAGAGGGGGGAAGATTATATGAGGGAATGGAGGGAGGAAGATGTGGCAGAAAAAACAACAACAAGACAGCGATGGAGAAGCGAGCGGATGAATTAGTCAGAGGATGCAAAAGCGTAAGAGAGGGAGCAATATAAGGAGAATTAGGCAAAGACTGTGAGATTAGACAGGGAGGGAGGGCAGAGAGAGGAAAACAAAGCGGGGTGTAAATCAGCCTGGCTGTGGCCGGCAGCCTCTGTCCCTCTGGCTCATGGTTACCATTTGATTAAAAACAATAGCCATTCTTCATTTAAATGGAATAACAAATCAGGTTCTGCAGGGTGGAAACAAAGCGAGGCGGGGGCCACACATTCGCCGATCACTCACACCCGACTGTATGCTCTTGCACTGTGCAGGGAGCTGTCCAGCATTAGTGGAGCTGGAGATGTTGAGGCTACGTAGCAGCTAGCGGAGCTGTCCACAGTCTCACTCTACACTGAGGTGCTGAAAACAACTATGGAGTCATACTGTTTAACAATTTGCAGAATAATGAGAACATTAATACACTATTTATCATAATTCATTGAAAACATAAACTTTTCGACTCAAGGGTTGCATGAAATTGAATAATACTAACCGGATTTTTTTTTCAATATATATTTTTGGCGATATGAGCCATTACAGGAATTGATGACAACAAAGTTTTGGGCCGAATTCATCCTTTCTGGAGCTGGAATATTTTCATGGAACTGACTTTATGTTTATTTTGCAACCAAATCCTCCTTTTCATGATTGGAACAAAAATGATTGTGATTAGTAGTTGGCAGTGCGTGCCTTATATCACTAACTGGCAACACATTCTGTCTATCCTTTAATCTCTGTAAATAATGTAAATGATGTCATAGCAGTCACACTTCTCTTCAAGGGTATTAATGGAACATTTTAATATCAAGCAGCAAAAACTGTGGAGCATGAGGTGTTTTGACTATTGCACAAATCACACCATTGTGATGTCGATAATGAAACAATATATATTGTGCAGCACTATAAGTCATGGTAGATTTGTTTAAAAAGCTGTTATACAAGTGACATCCTTTACATACACAGCAGAATAGACTTTAGCACATGTCGTTAAGCAACACAATAATAAGTGAGTCACCACTGCCGTCATACAGGGTGGTACATTTTTGCCTAGCTCCTCTGAATGCTACTTCCATACATTTTTTTTAAATACTTCCTGTTAAAAAAAGGCACCACTTTCGACAGATAACACTTAACACTGTTTGCAGCACATTCTGCTTTTTATTAGGAATAACAGCATGCTTCTTCCTCGTGCTGTTTTCATAACGGTCTTCACTAACTATGCAGTAGAAGTGTAAGTATGATAACAAGCCATATCAGGGCTATTTTGTCATTAAAGAAGCTGTTTGCAAAGACACTCCACTGACACTTGTGTGCTGTGAAGAGAGGGAAAGCGGTGAATATATGAACACAGAAGTGCATTATAGTAGATGATGTGCTCTTCTTGTTCCAACACAAAGGAAAGGTGCTTTCTCTTCTAATGGCATGGTCCCTTACCTCTTCTTACAGAAGTGTCCTCTCCAGTATACTATGGCAAAGTCAACACCTGAGCCTCTGAATTTCTTTCGCTTTCTCCACCTCCGCAGTCGCCATCTGGAGACGTGGAGTCTCATACTCTTTCTTTCAGAGTGGCTTTCTCTTATTTTGTACAAAATGTGCCCAGTGTGTGGGATGCACACAAACTCACACTGCCACAATACACACATAGACACACACTCATATCCAACAATGTAATCCTACTAACTCAGAAAAAACACCCTCAGGCATTTCCTATGTTTTGATGTTGTTTTCCTCTTAAATTAATGAAATACTCGTCTTCAAGATTGTCAATTTTATGAAGAATCTGTCAAAGAAAAAACATATACTTTTTCTTTGGTCCCCTTTCATTAATTTTCGTTTTAATCTTCCCCCTCCTATTTCTCCACATGTTTTTAATGGTTTTGATTGTGTAAAGCCCAATTTATATAAAGTAATTTTCCCAATTGAAAACAACCCAACAATATTAAAGGTTTAGGATAGGGAAAGTGACATACAACTGTGTTGGGAAAATACTGAATGTACTCTTCCAATATCAGAGTAGCTGATGATAACAAAGGCCAAACTGTAGCTGTGTACGTGACAGGATGTATGATTACCTAGACGAGCGTCAGGACACACTGTTTTAGGCATATGATAGCTATGTGATTAACATGATGATTCAGCCTCTAGGGAGATTGACATATGACAAGCATGATCATTTCTGACGTGGGTCTTATCTAATCTAAACTAAACATTGTATACTACTTTGAACCGGTATTCCTCCATCTTGTGACTATGTAACACTCTCTCTTGTATAAGCATCTGAAGGACACTGTTCAGGAACTCATTGTCCCATATGCTCTGTATGTGAAGACTACTTCCATTCTTGCAAGGATAATAAACACATGTATCCTGATATTGAAGCTCAAGCCGGTGATGAGTGATATTTTTAGAAAAATGGTGTAAAGCCTAATTTATGTAAAGTAATTTTCCCAATTGAAAACAACCAAACAATATTAAAGGTTTAGGATAGGGAAAGTGACATTCAACTGTCACTAATGTCTAATGATTCACAGTGACTCCCATTCTTCTGACAAGATGATCTGCCAGCAGTTTGTGCTCACCTCTGTCTCCAGGAAGCGACGAAGCGCTCTCTTCTTCTTAATGTTCTTCCGTCGAACAGACACGGCTACGCTCAGCCCCATGATCACCACCAAGAAGAGGCCACCAATCACCCCTGCTGCGATCAGAGGGGTTCTGAAGATAAAAAAAGGAGCAGTTGAGTAGGAGTAGAAAAGACAAAAAGATAAAAGTCTGCATCGTTTTTATGCTGCCATTTGCACACTGAGAATAAATAGGTAAGCAAATAAACAAACACATTAGAACTTGTCTTTAAGCATATGCTTATGTGGGCAATCCTCAAAAAGTTTATCACCTTCAGTTTGTTTTCTACAAAGCTTCATCTGGTTACAAATACTCCTCGATGCCCTCTCATTAAAATCATGGCTGAGATCAAAAACATGGAAATAACCATCAAAGCAAATTCTCAGCAGCATACTGACGCTATCATTTGAAATCAAGCCTCTTCAAAATGTTCTTGATATTCACTGCAAATTGTCTACAGAGTTGCTGCATAAATGAGGGAGTAGAGTTTATCTGACACTGCTGCCTTTCTTTAATTTGGTAAACACAAGTCTTATTGAGATTCTCCTAAATCAGTGGAAAAAGGCTATTATTTTAGACTGTATATCACAGACCGCAAGGATGAATGTAATCACAGTCAGATAGGTTCATGGGTATCTCCCCTTCATCCCTCTCTTTGGCACGCACAGGGTGAAAATCAATCCGCTTATAGAGGTTATTGTATGTCTGTATGGATAGCTAACAAGTCAAAGCTGTACGAAACTCTTTGTTTGGTTTGAAGTAATTTAGTCAACTAGTCACTTGTACATATATTGTCCACCGGAGAGCATTGACAGCTTCATTTTTCAACTGTTAAATGTCCAAATGATTAAATATCCTGGTCACAATTATTTGTTGGGATAGTTTCTCTGCTCTCTTGTAAAATGAGGGGATCAATATCATCCAAAGTGAAAACAAGAGAATCGCAACAGTTTGTCAATAGTACATCATATAACTCCTGTGAAATAGTTTTTTTAATATAAATATATTTGTAACGCTATTCGGAAACATTTTGTAATTTCTTTGAACGGATAAAACAAACAAGATATAAAGTGCTACTTTCACCTGTTGTTCTCTGGCTACGCTACGCTATGCTAACTGTCCTCTGGTTGTAGCTTAGGTACTAGGGTTGCGTCTAACCATATCCAACTCTCTTCAATAACAACTGAAAAGGTAATTCAACATTAGACGGTCACCTATTGTATGATTTGGCACATGATCAAATGTCAATTTAGCATTGAGAACCACTGTAGAGGTCTAATGCAATCTGCACGCTTCACGTACACGATTCTTCCAACTGACTGGCCTAAATGCTCTCCTGAGTGATCATGTGAGACCCAGCTATACTTTAACGTACTCAAGACATGGAGTTCTAAAGGTTGCCCAGCACGCCACATTTCCACATGGTCAGTGATGCATTTGACCACATTAAATGCAATGTTTCTCCACCATTACAACCATTAGTTTCTTAAAACACATGCATAGGGAGCCAATGAGTGAACACAGAAATATCAGACAACAGGAAGCTCTGACTTTTCTTATAATTAAACGGGAAAGATACTACCAAATGGCAATGTGTCAGACGGGGGATTATTTTTCAGTTTTATCAGACTAAATATTACACGAGTAAATGACAGGAAGTGATTAATCCAGCTTAATCGGATACGCTCACAATCACACAAGATGTATGTTAATGCCAGGTGAAACGATGGCCTTTGAAGGCTTAGCGTAATCATGTATTTCTGATAAGCCACTTTCAGCTGTACTCAAAAGCCAATACCTTCTACCGGTGAGAGATTTACAAGATGTGTGACACCTAAGAGCAGGCAGCTAAGCCTGGGGTTAGCTGGGCGTCTACTGCTGTATCCTAGACACAGCTATCGGAGATCCGATAAGAGCTGGTCTGTTCACCAGGTCAGCTGATAGCTACATTTTCCCCATCTGCTGCAATCCCCCTTCATCCTGCTGACAGTGTCCCAAAGACTGTTTCAGGAGGTAAAGGTAAGACTTTGAGCAGATTTTTAGAAGGCGTGTTTTTTTCTCTCTGATATGGTAGGAAACTCCTTCATTACATGTCGATCTCAGTGGGTTCAGGATTGAATATTCATCAGTTAATACTCACTAAATTGTGATTTGTTTGTCTGTCTGTGTATCTAGCTCAATTATTTTCCTAAGGAAGACTCGTGCTCTGCTGCTAGATAGTATAAATCAAAAAAAAATTCCATTCTGATGAAGTTCAAAGTCGAACACTACATTTTACCATCGCACTGTCATGTTCTGATATGCGTGGCTCTGTTCTTATTTGGCAGCAGTTTTGTGTTTCAGATCTCCAGATCCATCAGTAAGTTATGTTGTGTTTACTGCTCACTCTGCCTATCAGCCTTGTTTTGTTCTTAGAAAACAAAAAACAAAATCCCCCCACCCCCAAAACACCAACCCACAATTCTCTACGCCACTTGATGCCAAGCTGTTTCTCTTATGAAATCTTGAATCCATTTCATGTAAACTGTTAGAGGCATTTTGTTTCCACACTCTCTGCAATCGCCTCAGAACAAAAGCTAAAGCGCTATCAATTTATCAAGAACCAGGCAAATTGTTTACACACACACACACACACACACACACACACACACACACACACACACACACACACACACACACACACACACACACACACACACACACACACACACACACACACACACACACACACACACACACACACACACACACACACACACACACACACACACACACACACACACACACACACACACACACACACACACACACACACACACACACACACACACACACACACACACACACACACACACACACACACAGGCATTAAGGACGCTCACAGGGATTTTTGGCCTTAGAGCTATAGCCATTAATCAGAGACTTTGCTTACTGTGTGTGTTAGTGTGTGTTAGTGTGTGTTTGTTTGTTCATGTGTGTGTGTCAAAAGCTGTTTACTGTGTATGAGTGTGTGTATGAAAGGAAATACACAGAAAATAATTGTGTACCTGTCCATCCAGCCAATGCAGTCTTGCAGTCGTGGTCCAATGCACCTAAGTAAACAAACACAGGACAAGTTAAAAAAAGTAATAAGTTAGTTAGTCAGATATCTGAGGATTATGAAACTGTGTGGGGAGTTCAGCAAAGCAATTAAGTAAATAGTCAATTATAAATTCAAGAAAAACTTAATATTTTCTTCCAGAAGCCTTTATCTACTGCGATTAATGATAATACAAATGTATATGATGGAAAGTTCTTTACTCTGGGGTGACATTTTGTTATGCATGCCTTCTCTATTACAGCACACACCTTTTGCACCTTTCGCTTACGCACATAGGGATGAATTAAAACATAATATGATTTACAATTACATAAATTACTAAAAAAGTAGCAAACTAAATGTGTTAAATCACACATTGTAAGAGAGAAGAATATATATTAATGTAATGAGCCTTTTTGAAGTCTATACAACATATGAATAAACATGATTAGATATGCATTCCCTTCGTCAGTAATGGCACTAAGCATTCTATACAGTATGTCTCTGTCTGCTGCAGGATGTTCCTGTGGTAAAGCCTGCATAAATAAGTTTACAATAACTTGCCCATACTCCATAATGAAAATAGTATGCATTCATGTTTTAGTGTTGAGTAAAGGTATATGCTCAAAGGTGAATCTGAGTGTATTCTAACTGAAAGGAAGTGCTGTACTTCCTGTCTGTCAATGTATTGATTTTCAGTAAGCAAGTATGGCTGTATTCTACCAGCGAACATAAGCCAGAATCTATTGATTTCTCATATCTGTCCATTGTACCTTTTATTGCTGTCCGTCAAAACATATTGGGTCAGTGTGTGTGTGTGTGTGTGTGTGTGTGTGTGTGTGTGTGTGTGTGTGTGTGTGTGTGTGTGTGTGTGTGTGAGCATACGTACGTTGTGTGTGTAAGCATACGTGTAAGTTGTGTAAGTAGAGTCACGACTGTATCCTAAAGGATCAGTTTCAGTGTGTCTACATGGGTGACAGATTACAAAGCTACATTGTCTTCTGACGGAAAGCAAAGATCTCTGCTGGAAATGTCACACGTCCTCCGGTGTTGATGTCTCAAATCTCTCATGTATATTGTGCACTGGTAGCGTCTGACAGTCTTAATACTAGTTTAAAAAATATCGCTGCTCCTTGAATGTTTACAAATGGGGGATAGTGGCCTTGTCCCTGTACGTCTCTTTCCATTTTTGTCTATCTCTCTCCCTTCTAGCTTGTTTTTTGGAGAGGCGGATCTTCTTATGAAGCTATACCTGTGACAAAGTGTTAGCCCGGTGTTTTCCATTTACGACTACATTGCTATGCTCGAGTGAGCTGGAGGCTGTCACTCAGGAGAGGAGAAATACCACACAAGGAAGTGACATAAACTCCCTGTGGAGTTAAATACAAAACAATGTCTCACCAACCCTTGTTCAATATTGCATTCAGCGATCAGTGTCTAGTGAGCGATGGAGATTGGCAAGGTACTTTACCGACTCCTCTGGCTTTTATTCTTCCCCTCTTCTCTTACATCTTCTGCTTTGCCTCTCTATTGTTCCCTTTCTGTTCTTTATACATTTGATTCTCTTCTGAAATAAAAAGCTGGAGCGATTGGGGTTATAGTTTGGGTTATTTGTAATATCATGACCCTTGTTAATAGTGGTTTACCTGTATTTGTTTTGGTTACGTAAAAGTACTTTTTTGCAAAACAAAGGGATTATTGCTCTAGTTCATCTTATGCTTGCACGCTCTGTAACTGCAGAGTAGCACCATTATTGTAATACTGAAGTTACTGAATCAAAAACGTTTATTACAAACAATCTATATATCTATTATCACCCAATTAATTTCCTAAGAATTGGTCATCATCCCTCCACGACATCTAAATTGACTATTGGTGAAAATGTTCCCTGTATTTTTATGTTATCTTGTATATGATTACCGCTTGGTTTCATTTATCTGTAATAGTTTGAAAGAGCTGACTTCTGGTTTATGAAGGAATGACTGAAATGTCCTACAGGAGTAATGAGCATTGAACGCAACACCTCTGACCAGTCCTCATCCTGACTGTACTCACCCTTGGGTGCAGTTGGAATGGCAGGGATGGCATTCATTGTTGTCTTCTGCGTACTTGAAGATGAAGCTGTTGGCACCTTGCAGGCCATCAGGACACTTTTCAACACAATTAGGACCATCTTTGAAATGGATGCATTTCACACAATGCTCTGGGCCCTATGGGAATTGAGAAGAAAAATACTTTTCAGGTAAACATACAAAATTATACAAGAAAAATATTTTTTTTTGTTTTGTACAAAAGTAAGTGGCATGGGTTATTCATAACTGTTAGAATTTCTTGCAAACTTGTTTATAAAAGGCAAATTTGGAACATTTAATTTATTTGCATCAGGTTTACTTATTGCCGTTAAGTCCAGCTTTCTCTCATATATGTTTAAGTTTAGATGTTTTAACAGTTTTTACTCTCAAGCTTTTATCCAAACTTCTTGAGTGTGGAAAGGATATACTTCATTGTACACTAAGGCAAAAAGGACAAATCTGTGGTGTCACACACTTGGGTGATGATAAACGTGTTGTGGTATCCTAAGTTTGTAATGTAAACTGATTGATGGGTATATTTCTACATCAATAACTTGCCAAGTGCAGGTTTCTAAGCAGCTTTACAGATTACAATGTTTATGTATCAGTGGAGTCTGGAGAGCGAAATAGAGATAACAGGGAAAAGAAGACAGAAGGTAAAAAGCAAGAAAAAAGAAGCACTGTAGAGTAATAAGAGAAAGTAAGGGAGGGAGAGAGAGAGGTTAAGGATGCTGAATAACACAGTGTAGAGGAGAGGCAGTAAGAGCGAGCGAGATATAGTGTGAATAAGAGAGAGAGAAGGGGGACGGGAGGGAGAGAGCAGACAAGACGCATAAAGCAGTGTGAGCGGAGCGGGCAGATAATAACCATCGCTCACAGCACACACAATGACCATAACAATCCGCCTAGAACAGGATTTATGGAGCTAATATAGGCGAGGGAGGAGGTAGGGGAGGAGAGGAGGAGAGGCAAAGAGCTCTCCCAGACACAGCGCGTATCATCAACAGGCCTGAAGAACATCTCATTGACAAACACATACACAAACCAGGGGTGGAAGAAAAAGCACGACTTATGTGAAAGTACCAGTGACACAATCTGAAAATACTCCATTTAAAGTAAAAGTCCTGCATCTAAAATGTAACTTTACAAATAATATTGGCAACATGTACTTGATTCAAAAGGTTAGGTACCGGGATAAATGTTTTACTGTGACTGAAATTATAATACAGGGCATTAATAGGTTAATACTGACGCATCATCATCATATATTGGATAAACATTCCATTGATTGATTGATTAATGCTGCAGGTAAAAGTACACACAATTAGTTTTGGTTTCAAAATGAAACTGAATCTGATAAACAAAATGAAACTGAATCTGATAAACAAAATGAAACTGAATCTGATAAACAAAATGAAACTGAATCTGATAAACAAAATGAAACTGAATTGGATCATGTCAGAGGATTGGAGTGGAAATGTATCGTTAGCGGAGCTGTTAACTCATCATACACTTGAAATTATAACTCAAATGTTAGAAGGGGCAGAATTTAGATAATCATTTTGTTTAAGAGTTCAGAAACAAAAAAGGCTATTTTTTTTTTTTATATATTAAAAGGTACTATTTCTATTTCCCTCTGAAATCTGGTGAAGTAGGATAAAGTAGGACAAAATGAAAATACTAGTATGTGGAAACAGAATCCGCAACAATGCATTTCGATCACAAGCACTTACAGCTGATTTCAAAATTGCACACACATTAGTTAACATATTCATTAACACACCCATCCACCCACCCACACACCCCCATCCCCACACCCACACCCACACAACAAGGGGCACTGGAGTTAAAAAATGTTATAGTGAAGGCAGATAATTATCCTTTGGCAAGTAGAGGAGTGTATATGAGTGCTTGTACATACATAACCAGAAGTAGCATCTGTGCATGGGCTTGCATTTACGCTAGTGTGTGTGACTGTGTGTGTGTGTATGAGTGAGTGTAGACTAATGCCTCTGCGTGCATTCTTTGTAGCTTGTGTTTGTGAGTGTGTGTGGACATGCATTCACCCTGGTTTAATTATGCAAATTGAAATTCTCACTGCTCTCACTGGCTTTAGCGTTGAGCCTGGCACTTCGCTTTTATGAGTGTCTTCCCACCCGTGGCTATTGGTGTGTGTCTGTGCGTGTGTGATTATCCAATAGTACCATCACATCAGCAAGCTAAATTATGTGACAGAGCAAACAAACAGTGTTTGGTCCAGCGGGGCACTGGGACATCCAAAAAGTGACAGGAAGGCACAGCGTCACAACCAAAGTACCCTGCTGTACATTTAAATTGGTCTGCTTGTGTGTTTGTGTGTAATGTTGTTGGAAGTGTGTGTGTAAATTGATATTTCTATCTATTCTGTTCTTTATTCCTTCCCTTTTATGCATAGTATTTCCGGAGGATTGGCAATTCATCTTTATGGTGTCAGAGCTTATAGTCAAGACTTTTTAACAGGCAACCATAAAAGGCTTCTCAACGCAAGTACATCAGGAATGATTTATAATATTTTACGATGATATAATGCACAGACCAAGTTTTCTTGCTCTCTATTTCTGCTGGTGTACGGAAAAAATACTCCCACACTTCACCACAAAATAATTGTATGCATTAATGATGATTTGGGGGGATACAAGGAGTAGAAGAGAGAGGAGGATGAGAGAAAACTGTTGGAAACATTGGAAAGAGATGGATGTGGTGGGACATATGAACATGACAATTCAAATCATAGGTCATACAAATACAGATGCACTTCTATCTAATTAGATATTATAAGATTCACTATCAAAGCAAAATAATGTGACTGCATGCAAGTGTTTGTATCAGCTAAAACATTTCTGTTTGCAGAACATAATTTGACTTAAAGGTGGGGTAGGTAATTTTGGAGAAACCAGCTTGAGTGCGCTAGAATTTGAAAATACATCCGGAAAAAATCTGCCACTTCCTTACAGAGCCCCTCCTCCAACACACACGAACGCGCACATGACCAATGAGGGCACGAGATAAGTTTGTGCACAGATAGAAGGCTGACAGGCAGGTAGGCCATCCAGTTATTTTAGCCGGGCCGGCTAAAATGATTGGTCGTGCTTTTTACAGTACTACGGCTTCCACAGATGAATTTCTTTTATGGATTTTTTGTCAAAGCACTTAAGATATTCATTGCTATCGGGATGTTAAGAGCATTCCATGGAATATAACAAAAAGTGTATCTCGAGCCGGTTTCTCAAACTTACCTACCCCACCTTTAATAGACAGAAATTTTATTATTGGGGAATCTTGTGTGTGTGTTTGTGCTGGAGCCGCTTTATCCAAAACAGCACTCCGGTTAGAGAGTTGACACAGAGACAGGAAGTACAGTCTTTGGACTTTATATTAGCTTGGTGCTGGTCCTCAATACAGAACACATCATCTCTGATGTAGAATCACATACAGGATGTCAAATGGGGATGATGAGGATGAAGATAATGTAGTGAATAATAATGATGGAATGTAGAGTAGAGAATGGTTTCTGCAAAATAACACAGAAATAGAAATAAGGCTCATATTACAATGATTACAATAACTAACCAGACTCTGGTTATTAATAATAAGCAACAGCAACACTAATTGTTGCTAAAACATATCAGACACATTGCAAACTCATTGCAAACACATACATAGCTAATAAAGGCTAAGTTAGCATCTCATCCACACACTGTATCACTGAATAGCTTAACTTAGCTAACTAGCTAGCATTAGCTTCATTTCTGAACAACATAGTGCAAAAACGGGACATTAATAGACTTATTAACACACTGACTTAGCAGGACATTATGCATACTTCTTATAACATTCCTAAGATTAAACATCTGCAGCTTACATTCTTCACGAACGCATTCTCTGTGACGATGATAATATGCATATGACGATGCGACCGCAATAATGTCCTGACATGAACGCATGGATGTATAATAAGAACTGGATACAGCCGCAGCGTCGGTGGCGGGGTCTCGTTCTTTCCTATGAGAGCTGCTCATTGGCGCATGAAGGCAAAATGGCCCAACTTTTCAGAGCAGAAGAACCCGTATGTGCAATCACAGAGCATGCGCCCCTTAAGCCCCGCCGCCCGAGCGCCCACTCTCGGCTCACTAGCATGAATAGAGAACCGCAGTGACGCGTCCTAAAACCTGGAAGTAAGTTAGCATTTTTACCACTTCCGGTTCCTTCGACAAAAAGCAATGCAATTTCTCCATAGGATTTTCGAAAATAGCTCGAAATAAGGTCTGTGTTTGACACAAATTGAAGAGACAGATCACGTTTTGTTCTATGACATTAAATACATCAGCAGTGACCCCACTGGTGATTTTTGAAGAGTTTACGTGTCTGAAAAACGATGGTTGTTAACATGTGGCTGAATAGGACTACAGAAGTTGTCGAGGCCGTTTTACGTCATTACACCGAACACGTAAACACTCCCGCTAAGTTTGTTTGCCCTGTTCTGCTTGAAAGCAAGTACCTGCGCTCTTGCAAACTGTTAAAACAAACGCTTCAACTTGTACAATTTTGAATCTGTAGTTTTGAATATGGATCTTAAGTTGGCGTGACGTTGAAGCAGCGACTCTGCTGTAGTTCCTTTATAGCATAACGTTAGCATTTTGCTTCTGGCGACTAGATTTATGATTAGAAAATTATAAAAGTAGGGTAGACATGTGGATATTATCCGGCTGAACAAAACGTGATCCGTCTCTTAAATGTGTGTCAACCACAGACCTTATTTCGAGCTATTTTCCAAAATCCTATGGAGAAATTGCATTGGTTTTTGACGAAGGAACCGGAAGGAGTTTACTTCCGGGTTTTAGGACGAGTCACTGCGGTTCTCTATGGAGAGAGAAAATAAATCTAGATTCGGCTTTTAGTGCATTTTACAACTTTAAGGACTTCATGATTCTAATAAGGGCTATACAAGTGTTCATACTGGGTAGTTTATTTAGTTTAAAAAAAATGATCCGCTGATTTACAGACGTCTCTTTCCCCATGTTAGTCAATGGGAAAAAGTATTTCTGGGCCGGCGCACTTCCTGGGGGCTTGCATGAACGCACATGTGTAAACAGAGCGAGGACCCGCAGCTGCGCTACTTTAGCTGTCCCTAAATGTGCATGATTACAATATAAATAATATAACGCAGATTAAGGAAACAGCCGCCCCCAGAATAGCATAACTATTATGTAAACAGAATAAATTCCCCAAGGCGCAGCAGAAGTCCCTAGATCAGCATCGTCGTCCGGTAGAGCTGGTAGCTGCACAAGGCGTGCCACAGGTCGCAGGTATGTCTTGTCCCCGACTTGAACCTCAGCCGACCGGATGCATCCATCAGCACTGGCATTCAGCTTGACGACCCTCCCCACTGGCCAGTGGGTACGTGGAAGCTGAGGATCAACTATCATCACAACAGTACCTTGGAGAAGACCATCAGTGTGCTGCTGCCACTTCTGGCGGACTTGAAGGGATGGCAAGTAGCTTCTGATGAACTGCACCCAGAAGTGGTCAACCATCATTTGACAACGGCGCCACCGCCTCTTGCTGAGGGTGTCTGTAGCATAGGATACTTGTGGCAGGGAGGCATCCCGCCGCCCCATCAGCAACATGTTTGGCGTCACAGGATCTGGATCTGCGAGGTCTGATGACACATAGCCTAAGGGTTTGGCATTTAAGATACCTTCCACTTCGACTAAAAAGGTGAGGAGGACTTCTCCCTGGAGAGACAGAGTTCCGATCACCACTTGTAGAGCCTTCTTGACCGATTGTATGTCGCGCTCCCAGGTACCACCGAAGTGGGGAGATGCTGGAGGGTTAAAGTGAAACTTGATCTGTTTCTTGGCAAGTTCCTCTTGCAGTTGGGGCATCATTCCAGCAAACGCCTCCTCAAGCTCCCTAGCTGCTCCCCGGAAGTTTGTACCCTGATCTGAGAGAATCTCGAAGGGGGTGCCTTGCCGAGTGATGAATCGCCTCAAGGCCAAGAGGAAAGCATCTGCATCGATGCTATTAAGCAGATCTAGGTGGACACAGTGAGTGGTGAGACATTTAAAGATGACTCCCCACCGTTTCTCACTACGCCGCCCTACCTTGACAGTATATGGCCCAAAGCAGTCGACCCCGGTAGAGAAGAATGGAGGCTTGAGGAGCCGCAAACGGGCAGAAGGCAAGTCGGCCATAATCGGTATCACCGGCTTCCTTTTCCACTTCCTGCATCCAGTGCAAGTCCTCTGATGATGCTTGACGGCCTGTCTCCCACGCAGGACCCAGTACTGGTGCCTAGTCTCAGCAAAGACCCTGTCGGGCCCTGGATGGAGCAAGCGCTCGTCCATATCTTTAATGAGGAGTTTTGTGACTGCATGGCTGGGATCGAGAACAGGAGGATTTCAGCGTCAGATCACGCAGGTCAGACTGAGGCAAGGAAGGGTCAGTCGCCGCCCCGTGAATGAACTGCTTGGTGGCCTCGACCAAGTCTGTCCATGTGTCAAACTGTGTGACGTCTGGTGTTGGAGGTGCTGAACTGGTTCGCGTTAGGCCGCAGAAGGTACCTTATTTGTGCTCGTCAGTATCTTCGGGCTCTGTGGGGGCAGGAAGCGACGGCCATTAGTCAGGCAGGCCACATAGGAATGTTGGACCTTGAATCCACCAATTTGGTGCCGCCAGCTCAGCTACTGTCTTGCCACAGGTGAGGTCATCGGCTGGATTATTGGCTGTGTCAACGTACCGCCAGGTGTGCTCGGCTGTCAAATCCTGAATCTCAGAGACCCTGGTTCCCACGAAAACTTTGAACCTGCATGACTCTGACGTCAGCCAGGTCAGGACTGTGGTGGAATCAGTCCAGAGATAGGTCTGGGTGATGTTTAAGGTGAGCTCTCGATGGATAAGAGAGGATACCTGAGCTCCTGTCAACGCTGCACATAGTTCCAACCTTGGCATCAACTGCTGGCGCTTCGGGGCTACCGTAGACCTTGCCATAACAAATGACACATGGACTTTGTCACCAACCTTCGTTGCGAGGTAAGCTACCGAACCATATGCCTGTTTGGAGGCGTCACAGAAGATGTGCAGAGTGTAGTCTGTGGCTTCAGTTGCAGCCTCCAGTGGCGTGTCGGTTCGTGGCAGGGTGATGTCTGCCAGCCTGGAGAGTTCCCTCTACCAGATGGACCAAGCCTGAACGATGTCAAGAGGAAGGTTTGTGTCATCCCAGCTCCTCTTCTTCGCCCACAACTTCTGAACAAGTACTTTGGCCCTCGTAGTGTAGGGAATAATGACTCCGAGAGGGTCATATTGCCGGGCAAGCACCTTGTATATGTGGCGCATAGTGGGAGTCGCGTTCTCCATCGACCTTGACCGGTAGCCAAGTCGATCAATTGGACAGTGCCACAGCAAGCCCAGAGCTGGCTCTTGAGGGTCAGCGCTCTTCTCTGCTAGCCATAGCTCCGTACTCTCTGACCTGGCAGTGGATGGGAGACAACAGCAGTGATATTGCTTGCCCACTGCCGTATCTCAAAACCCCCTGAGGCTAGTCATTGATGCATCTTGTCCACAAGGAGCTTGGCAGACTCAGGTGTTGAAAGGCTCTGAAGACAATTGTCCACGTAGAACGACTGCTCCACTGACTGTAGTACGTCCTCATTTCCCTCTGCGTTGTCTTTTACGTGCTTTTGCAGCGCAAACGTTGCGCAGCAGGGGCTGCTTGTTGTGCCGAATGGCAAGACCTGCCATTGGTACATATCAGGTTTCTCCAGACGCACCTCAGCAGTGGCCGGTCCTCAGGCAGGAGACGAACCTGATGGAACATTGCTCGTATGTCCCCACTGATAGCGACAGCATACTGCCAGAACCGCAGGAGTACGCCGAGAAGGGATGGTTCAAGTGTTGGACCAGGAAGGAGTTGCTCATTAAGTGAGAGACCACGGTAAGTAAAGGAACAGTCGAAGACTAGACGATTCTTGCCATTGTGATGGACGAGGTGATGGGGGATGAACCAGGATTTGTGGGACTTATCCACTTCTTCTGTAGAAAGCTTGGTAACACACCCTCCATCGATGAGCTTTTGGATCTCTGCTTTGTGAACTTTGGCCTTAGCTGGGTCTTTAATGAGTCTGCACTCTGTGCTGCGAAGCATTGGCATACTTGTTTCAGGAGTGGCCTTTAAGGGTGGAGCGTCCCTGACACGGGGAAGAGGTGTAGCATACCTTAGTGTGTCGCCCACCTTCACCCTCTCAGTGCGGGCTTCCAGGATACTGACGGCTTCCTGGTCCAATCAGGACCGTACTGCTAACCTTTCACTGGAACCTGAAGTGCCCAGCCGAGTGCTGTATTGATGGCTGTGGGTCCACCTTTGGGGCCGACCCTGACTGGCTCCCTGGCTGTGATCAGGTGGGTGCAATCCGAGCCAATTAGCAGTAGCGGATGAACCTTACTAAAGTTCTTCAGCGGAAGCCCCTTCAAGTGGCGATAACGCTTCTGGAGTGCTGTCACAGGGTAGGACTGCTCTGATAAGGCTATCTGACCCGCTGTAAAGGCACCCGTAATGAGATGCTGCTTAGGAGGCTGTGTCAGAGAGGCCACATGGAAGTCAACAGACTCACCAGTGAGGCTGGCCACATCTTGGCGGATGGTCTGCAGGAAGAGAGACTCAGCTTCACCTTTGAGTCCCAGGTGTTGAACTGCAGCTGGCAGTATCATTGTTCGTTCAGCTTCATCGTCCAGGATCGCGTAGGTGTTAAGAGACTTGTCCCCATGGCTGATGATGACTGGCACCACCTTGAGGTAGACCTTCCCTCCTTGCTTGGAGTTGGAGAGCACAGCACAATTATTTAGCGTGATGAGGTAGACACGTGGACTTGGCTTAGCAACACAATGGAGAACTCTGAGGTGGATTTCCTGGCACTCACTGTATGCTTTCTTCAAGTTACAAGCTTCTTGCCGGTGGTTGGTGCGACCGCAGTTACGACAACGTTTGCCGTCTACTATCCATTTTTCAACTTTCTCCAGAGAGCACTGGATGATGTTTGAACACTGTGACAGGTAATGCTCATCACTCTTACAGAAGAGACACATCCTCTTGAATTTCTGCTGCTTGGCCTCTGGCCGAGTCGTCTCTGAAGGATGACGGTTTTCAGCTTCAGACTTGTCAGAGCCATGGTAAACTGAGACCTGATGGTTGCGAGGCCTTGGTGCATGAAATTGCTTGTATCTTTTAGGGGGCTGTGTACCTTCACGCCGATGGCGCTGTGCCATCCTTTCGGACAGTCGTTGAGTCAATTCTCTCTCGCTGTCACGCACCAATTTAGGCAGTTTAGATACTGGGACTGGCTGTCTAGGAGGTAGGGGAGCATTTGACCCGTACAGTGAATGCTGTGGTTGAATGGAATACTGGACTGGCAGGGCTGGTACAGACTGATGCATTAAAGGACCAGGGGTGGAAGGCACTAGTTGATAGGCTGGCTGAGACGATGGGCTAGGCTGCAGTTGGTACGCCGGTTGTAGATGGCCCTGCTGGTACTGCGGCGATTGGTACGCCGGTTGTAGATGGCCCTGCTGGTACTGCGGCGGTTGGTACGCCGGTTGTAGATGGCCCTGCTGGTACTGCGGTGGTTGGCACGCCGGTTGTAGATGGCCCGCCGGTTGATATGCGTACTGTGCCGGAAGGACAGGTAGAGACTGATACGCTGTCTGCTGGGGGACAGCAGACTGTGTATAAGGTGAGAGCGCTACAGACCAGTTGGGTGGCCCGTAGGAAGATTGCTGAGGCATAACAACTGGATGTTGGGCCACTGGTTGTTGTGCAGCTGGTAGCTGGTGAGCCGGGTACAGCGCTGGTGCGTAATGTGGTTGATATGGTGGTTGGACAGGTGCGGCCGGAACATATTGATTTGCTGCGGATGCCGTTGTCATAGACTGATATGGGATTTGTATTGCCTCCTGCATGCTGCCAGATGTGGTTGCCACAGGAGGAGGCACAGGCTGGTATGGCTGGTGAGCAGGCTGGTACCTTGTAGTTGTTGGCAGTTGTTGGCCAACGTGACCTGTTGCTTGCATCCCTTGGACGATAGGTGCCGACATGACCGTGCTTGTAGCCAGAAGTGCTGTTGGCTTAGAAACAGCTCCAAACAACCGTGCAGATGTGACTGTTGGTGGTAGAGACTGAGTCAATATGCTTCTCTCCTGCTTCTGACTCGGCATGAAGGCTGGGAGGTCTTGAGACTGGAATGTCGCTGTAGTCGTGCACAGCAGTGTTGTCGTTGGCAGCTTATCCTGATGCTTGGTGGCTGGTCCCAGCTGGATGGATAATGGCTGCTGCTGCAAGATGCGGTTATCTGCTTGTGAGTCCAACCAGTGTGAGTGGGTTGGAGATGGATGTGACGAGAGGGGGCCATATCCGTTCTCACTGAGGCTGTATTCTGTTGATTGATGACTGTGGCAGCTCTGCTCTGAGGGAGATGGCAGTTGAGGCATCACACACATATTCTGCAGGTCAGGAATGTTGCTAGCATAAGGTGCCATGTCCCACAAATGTGCCTTATTTGCTGCTCCTGGCAAGGAGTAAGAGGGAGGGCGTCCAATTGCAGTGTGTAGCTGGTCACTCTCAGCTGCTAACCCGGTTTGCAGGCTAAGTGACATATTGGAGGGGGGTAGGATTAGGCAAGAGAGACTGTGGTAAACTGGCCTTATAGCCTTGCAGGTGTGTTGGAAGATGTCGCTGTCTTCCTCCATGAGCTCCAATCGTAGCTGCTGCTGTTTCCTGTGCATCCATGGCGCTGTCGTGGGTGAAGCTATCCGGCTCGAAGGACCAATATTGGGGAATCTTGTGTGTGTTGTGATGTTTGTGCTGGAGCCGCTTTATCCACATACAGGATGTCAAATGGGGATGATGAGGATGAAGATAATGTAGTGAATAATAATGATGGAATGTAGAGTAGAGAATGGTTTCTGCAAAATAACACAGAAATAGAAATAAGGCTCATATTACAATGATTATAATAACTTACCAGACTCTGGTTATTAATAATAAGCAACAGCAACACTAATTGTTGCTAAAACATATCAGACACATTGCAAACACATACATAGCTAATAAAGGCTAAGTTAGCATCTCATCCACACACTGTATCACTGAATAGCTTAACTTAGCTAACTAGCTAGCATTAGCTTAATTTCTGAACAACATGGCAGCAAAAACGGGACATTAATAGACTTATTAACACACTGGCTTAGCAGGACATTATGCATACTTCTTATAACATTCCTAACATTAAAGATCTGCATATATGCTTACATTCTTCACAAACACATTCTCTGTGACGATGATAATATGCATATGACGATGCGACCGCAATAATGTCCTGACATGAACGCACATGTGTAAACCATGCCCCCACGCAGTGCGCCGGACTCTGTGCCCAATATTCGTTGTGTCCAAACGGCGGTACTGCAACTTCCGTATCAGTCCGTGACGTCACCCGGCCCAAAAATACTTTTTCCCATTGACTAACATGGGAAAAGTATGGAAGCCTGTTTGCGCCACAGGAAAAAAAAAATCAAAATCCTGTAAGTCAATATATTGATTTAGCTATCTCAATATATTGACTCACTATCTCAATATATTGACTTAGCTATCTCAATATATTGACTTACTATCTCAATATATTGACTTAGCTATCTCAATATATTGACTTAGCGATCTCAATATATTAACTTACTATCTCAATATATTGAGTTATATATATATTTTTTTATTGAAACAATTATGTCAAATACAGAATAAGGCACATAGACATCAATGTTCATATAAGTGGTACAACTTCATATTAAGGTACACAAATTCACCATCAACTAGTTGTTAATTAACATGCATATTAGCAGTATATTGGCTCTTTATTAGTCATTACAAAACACTTATTAATGCCTTATTCTACATAGAATAGCTAAGTCAATATATTGATTTTTTTTTTCTCCTGTGGCGCAAACAGGTTTCCATAGAAAGAGACGTCTGTAAATCATCATCATTAAAGTTGTAAAATGCACTAAAAGCCGAATCTAGATTTATTTTCTCTCTCCATTCATTCTAGTGAGCCGAGAGTGGGAGCTCGGGGGGCGGGGCTTAAGGGGCGCATGCTCTATGACTGCACATACGGGTTCTTCTGCTCTGACAGCCAGGCATGACGGGTAATCTGTGACGTTTCGCTCTCTCAAAAGTTGGGCCATTTTGCCTTCATGCACCAATGAGCAGCTCTCATAGGAAAGAACGAGACCCCGCCTCCGACGCTGTATCCAGTTCTTATTATAGAGAGGCGAAGTCCCTCCCCTTCCGGGGGATCTCCATGGGACCTTATTTCGGAAAAAGTATTGAAGTCAATGGAGAGAGAAAGATTATCTTTCGATCCCGTTTGAATTGTGCTATGAATTACACATATGATGTTTGTCAATTTAAAAGATAATTTTGCAAGTCAAAAAAATAAAAATGTGTCGTAAAACTGTGAAGTACCACATTTTTTTGTGTGAAACGCTCAATGAACTACATCTCTGGTCTCGCACACGTCACCAACACCAAGATGGCCGTCACGTTGGCACATTTCACCTCTTTCTTTCAGAATGAGGCGAAAAGTATTAAAAGAGGTGAAAATCACTACAAGTCTGGTCATGTTGAGAGCTGTACATACACAAAAGGGGAGTTAGTCGGTTCCGTAAGAGCCAGCATGCGGGACCGGCTTTACAAGGTTTCGGTGAGTAACACGAGTGTAATGTGTAACATAAATGACATCACTTACGCAACTCTGGGATTTGTAGTCTTTCTAGTTGCGTATTTTTCATAGTCTTATATTTCAACAGTTTTACGACAAACTGTGACTTTTTTGACATGGAAATGATTTTTTAAGATTGACAAACATCATATGTGTAATTCGTGGCACAATTCAAACGGGATCGAAAGATAATCTTTCTCTCTCCATTGACTTCAATACATAATTTTTCCGAAATAAGGTCCCATGGGGCGGATGTAGAAGGGCGGGACTTCGCCTCTCTATACATCCATGGTGTAAACAGAGCGAGGACCTGCAGCTGCGCTACTTTAGCTGTCCCTAAATGTGCCTGATTAAAATATAAATAATATAGCGCAGATTAAGGAAACATTTCCGAGATGTGAAGAACACGGACCAACATTCGACATATTCGACTTAAAACCGTTTCTCTACACACAGACCTTCAATGGTAGGCTATATTATCAATGATATCAAAGTGAAGAAGAGACTCTGCAGAATGCTTTTGTTCTGCATTGTTGACCCTTGGTCTTTTATACACCTTTCATATACAGGTGAAGATATATTCTGCCTACGTTCAGACATCCAACAAATAAGTGCGTTGGGGTGGAGTCAGATGACAATTACTATAGATTTAGAGATCCTAAATGAGCTTTAACCATTAGGAAGGGCAACAGGTTGAAATGCCTATTGTCAAATGACGCTATTCTCTAATATTTCATTAAAGGAACAGTATCAAATGTACTTGCCTGAGATAAATTGATGGATCAGTGATCAACAACAGCAACTGTTCTACCATCATCACCTATTCTGTCCTCGACATAGCCAGTATTCATAGCAATAGTCCTATCCCCAATCTCTCTCTGCAGAGGGCATTAGGCCTATCAAATCACTGTGTGTAAGCTGTAATGTAATTGCTATGGGCTCTGTGGCCATAACATGATTGCTGTAATCCATTTGTGGCGCAACAGGTTACCCTGGGACATTTCCATTATAAACAGCTTGTCATGTCACACACATACAATGACACACTCACAGGCTGAGATGCTGCATGATGTTGTACAGTACTTGAACATGTTAATTACAGGTTGCTGAAATAAGGACAAATTGAAACAACTGTTGAATTGAACGTATTAAGTCACACAGAACCTTTAGAATAGACTTTTGAAAAAATAAAAACATTATGAATGTGAACTTAACTTCAATTGTCAAAGTCAAAGTCAACTTTAATGTCAATTTTTCTGTGTGTTTGTACAGACAGAGAGATCGAAATAACATTTCCAACAATCCGAACACAAAATACAATAATACAAATATACATAAATATGTATAAATATGTATATACATTGTATTGTATTTGTGCTAATTACCAAAAATACAAAATACAATAAGAAAAATATACAAATATGTATAAATATGTATAAATATGTATATCCATTGTATTGTATTTGTGCTAATTAACTTGCTGAGATATCAAATATATAACTGTTCAAGTCATTACAAAGTACTTCTATCACCTTTTTTGCTAAAGGTATCTTTTCGTTTTGTTAAATCTTTACACCCACCTTCTTATCACATGTCTAAAAAGTCAGGTGCAGAGTGACATATCGAGATATCAGCCAAGATAATCACAACATCAAATCCCCTCTAACATCAACAACAGGCGCACACAACTTAATTTGGCTTTTGCCTCCTATGTTTTCACACTCATACACATTACACACACACACACAAGTTGTTTTGGAAATCAACCAACTTCTAAACTGCATTAGGCATTCATTGAACTATCTGACAGAGTGTGATGGGACACAGAAGACAGAACATCGCCCTTCTGGCTTGCATCTGTCGCAAATCATCCCTCTATCAAACAGAGAGATGCGATTTTAAGAGAAAGCGCGGGGTCAGGGGGCTCGTGTGGCTGTGGGTGTAGTGTGCAGGAGATGCAGACAGAGATGAAGGTCAGGGATTTTTTTTTTTTCTCCGCTCTGGCATTTTTCTTATGTACAGCTGCGCCCAAACAATCTTTCAAAGAGCATGCAGTATTCTAAGAGCTTGTGAAATGCAAAAAGTGTCAGGGAGAAAAAACATCCTTTTGGAATAAAAAAAAAGAAAGACTGTTCATTTAAAATAAAAACAGATGTATATAGAGTCACACGTGTTGATGTTTTAATTCATTCCCGCAAAATAATGCTGATCTTAGCTTAAACAATCAGTTTTACCTTTGACACGGAACATGACACATAATCAATAGCACAGCTGAAAGGCACAGTTTGACTGCTAATACAATAATTAATCATAGTCTCAGATGACCACAGGGAATGTCTGCAGCTCCAAGTCATTTGCTTTGTGGTGAGTGAAGCACTGCTCTGGCCTTGAATGGTTTTCCTTTAGAGGATCAACACTGAAAACAACAGTTTAGCCCATTCAGCTGATTCGGCTTTTAGTTAGTTCAATGTGTTGATGGTTTTGCTCTTTTTATGGCATGCGTTGACATTTAGAAAAATACAGGATATACATAGCCCTCTTGTCTGAATTTTTTTTTAACCTTGTATTAACTTTTTGCTGTCACATTATAACTTATATTTACCTTGGCTCATGGCTTTTAGCTCTGAAAAAAATGAGCCTGCAGGTTATCTTTAAAAAAAGGAATAGTTCCATGATTTATCTTTGATTAACAGATAAAAACAAACCCAAACCAACTGCTCCAACAACTACATTACTGTCACACATGAGATAAAATACTGTGTCGGTATCTGCCTTACTTTTAGGGTCTAAAGGAGCAAACTTACCGGACCGTTGCAGGTCAAAGAATCATCGTCAGCTTGCTCACACTGGGCGTCACACTCCACACACACTGACCCATTGGCATACTCTCGGATATCCCTGAGAGACAGGAAGACAGGGAAGGAGGGAGGGATTAGGAGGGTGAGAAATAGAGTGATACAGGGGAGAGAGACAAGAAATGATTTGTGAAATAGAACAATAACAAGGCTTTGTGTCCTCAGAAGATATAGCAGAATATACTACAGTAAAAGTGAAGGGTGGTTGAAAATAATCTAAATGCAATGCAGCACAGAGCGAAAAACAAGTAGGCCTACATTTTGTTATATTTTGACTGAATCACAATATTTGTATTATATAGTCTGTATATTTAGTGGAATCGCCTCCTGGACAACTTGTGCAAAAGACAGAACAAATCAATGTCAGTACATTTTTTTATTTCCCAGAGTGCTCTCTTTTAAGAGCTTTCTTTGTAAATAAATAAGAACTAAATGAAGTTCAGGATGTCATTTCCAGAGCAAAGAAGACAGATGGATGGACTGAGAGGGAAAGAATAATTATTCAAAATGATTAGACGTGTCTGTTTCCATCTGTTGTGTGAGCATCATATCCCACAATGTTTACCTTATAATTAAAGGTTGGCAAATGTGGTCATTAAAGGCAGTCTCGCACGCTCAGATGCACACACATACATCCCTGATGCATCCAGCATTGTAGCTAATTAGCTAACTGTAACAATGATACCATCAGGCAGGGGGTCAATGCAGTTGAAAGGTGCAGTACATGTAAGGGCTTTCAAAACTCAATTAAATTCAATTTATGAAATCCCATTATAATAGTAAAACACCAGAGTCTGCTCCAAAAGTCATTACATCTGACCACAGTGTGGCTGAGATGGCACTCGCCTTTGTCGCAGGATAAGGAGAATGACGTTTGGGTACTTATTTTTTGGTCAATGACGGAAAACAGAATGTTCCATCTAGCAATAGAAAAAGAATTGCCATTGGTGCAGTGGGAGCTAAAACAAATTAGTATTAATTATGCTTCATGTGGCCTTCATAAAACCTTCCAGGAGGCCGGAGAGGTGAGCCTTTGTCTGGGTCTGTGCCGGTTGAAATAATAAAGGCTGCAGTGTAGCTTGATGTTATCACTGACACTTAATACTCAAACGCTATTCCATGATTTTCTCCTGTCTTCTGCTTTTCTGCCTCTGTTAAGGCACACAAATACAGCATCACATTTGTAGTTAAAGGTGGGGTAGGTAATTCACTTCAGAAACACTTTTTGTTATATTCCATGGAATGCTCTTAACATCCCGATAGCAATGAATATATTTAATGCTTTGACAATAAATACATAAAGAAATGTCATCTGTGGAAGCCGTAGTACTGTAAAAAGCACGACCAATCATTTTAGCCGGCCCGGCTAAAGTAACTGGATGGCCTGCCTGCCTGTCAGCCTTCCATCTGTGCACAAACTTATCTCGTGCCCTCATTGGTCATGTGCATGTTCGTGTGTGTTGGACGAGGGGCTCTGTAAGGAAGTCTGAAGGAAGGGGCAGATTTTTTTCGGCTGCGTAGTTTCAAATTCGAGCACACTCAAGCTGGTTTCTCCATTCTTACCTACCCTACCTTTAATAATATAGCATTTTATGGATTTCATACAAAAACAAAATATTGCATTTCAAATGGCTTTGTTCATACAAACTAAGAAAAACAATATGTCTGGCATTTTGAACAGTAAAATCCATATTGTTTGAGGTCTAAGGCAATGCAAGCTCCTTGTTGCTTTTTTGCTCGCAGATAGTGTTGTGCAAAAACATGTTAAATAAACCACTAAGGTTGAATTAGGACAATATTAACCTTTAGTTCACTAAATTAATAAAGGGGCATCCTTGTGGTTTTAGTACTCTGCAATTATTAAACTCAAGTACCTTTATTCTCCTTGCTAATCATTTGCCACACTTTTACTGCCAAACCAATCCACATGGGAATAAAGGCGAACTTGAACTGTTGGGCAACATAACATTTTGATTAAACCAGCGATAGATTTGGACTAAAAATAAGGCACACACAGCGATGAAATATGATTTGAGTTGAAAGCTTGACCTATGACACACATGTGGCAATGTTTTCATTCAGTGAAGCTTTATATTGGACAGATGAGGTACAGGTTGTATTGGTTACGCTGGCGGTGTGGGGGGTGCTGACGTGCAGGTGGACAGGTAGGCAGGGCGTGGCCCCGTGCGCAAGCAGTGACTGTGACACGCAGTGACACGCCTAGCCCCCCTGCCCTAACAGCCCCTTCTGGTCCTCCTCATTCCTCTCCACTGTGGCCACCATTAGCATTTGATCAAATACAGACTTAAAAACATCTAGTTCCAGCAGTTCTGCAGGGCAAACAAATCCTAAAATGTTATTAATGAAACTCTCCAGGTAGCAGATCCAGTCATTGCATTTTTTTTAGAAAAGGATTACATCAAGTTCCTTTTATAGTCAAGGGCCCCCTATTGTTTTGAATCTCTACAGGGGTGCCTTTTAAACCAAGAATCACCACCACGTCTTCTAATTTGTTCTTTTCACCCCGCGGCTCTTAAATATTATAAACAGAACAATTACTGCAGGATTTGAAAGCTGAAACAAAGAGCCTAGGGGTGTTTTTGAACCGGAATTTAAGTTTTGATGTAGTGCAGCAGGTTTTTTTTAACAAATCAGAATTATTGGAAAATTCCACCACTCCTATTCTATAATTATGTGGAGTTAAGCATGTTTAAAAAAGTGTCCTTGACCAGACAACTAAGACCAATATAAGAAAGCATTATCTATCAAACTAGGGAAACTGGAACAACCTATAGTGTTTATTATTATGTATGCTTATCACTTTAGATCTTATGTCTTAATGACGTTTAAACAAATATTTCATCTAAAATAGTCTATTCAAGCAGAGTTTTTCTATAACTAGATACCATTTAAACTTTTGATCAACATTTCAATTGATTTTACTGTAAAACATTTGCAGCACAGAGCCATGAACCTTTTTCTGTTAAAGATCAGCATACAATTCAGAATTAATATTTAAGACGAACCTTTGAAGTATCCATTGTAAAGCCCTTTGTTAGATTTTCAAAAAAGCTGCCTTTTAAGTGATTTCATCTGAGGATTACGGTAAGTGATCAGCACTTAATATATGTGATTACTTAATTCAAGGAAAAAATTAAAGATTTGTTAGTGCACTGAAAGGTAATTTGATAAAAGCCAAATTCATACTGCTTCCTCCACAGACAATGAACCAGCAACACTTCAATCCAAGATCCACCTGCCTCAGTGTGCTGATTATAACCAAAAAGCACTTAAACTAAATGTTTTCTTGACTGGCAGTGAGTTTCTGAGCTGAAAAGTACATGTTTGATTGGGTTTTCTTGCAGCAAAAGCCGATTAGATTTCCTCTTGGCAGTGACACAATGCTACATGTTCTGGGTGAGATGAAGTACACACAGTTTGCTCCAACCACGTCCATCACTCACTGGTTGCAAAAGACACTTTACTTTATTTTGCAACAACTGCAAGGTTTGTAATTGAAAATGCATTGTGTTGCAGAGGGACAGGGAGGAAAGGCGGTGGACATGTTGATCTATAAGGTTATTTATTTTTGAATTGACCTATGGTGTTATGTTGAGAGTTGCAGTGATATTACAGCTACTCATATTGAGTCTCTAAAAGTGTTTACTGAAAGGTATGTCTGCTTGTATCAATCCAAGGTGAGCTGAAGTTTTTTTTAAATTGTACAGTAGTCAGACAGACCTGAAATAAACCAGACTGTGCACTGAAGAACTTGGCAATTCTGTCACCACAGAAAAGAACAACTTTTGTCATTCAGTTTGAACAATTGCAGAAAAAGCACAATGAAAGCTTGCAGTGTGGTGTGCTTTATTTTGTGAGTATCACTAAGATGAAGTAATGCACAAGCTGAAGGTTGCATTAAGTGTGGGTGAACCTAACATGTTATTAGTACTTGAGGACAAACACAAGAACATACATGTTAATATAACAATAAGGGGTGTATGTGTATATGCACACTGTAACTCACCCTTCATAAAGGTTGCAGTTTTTCACACAGGTTCGTCCACGGCTGAAGAATCTGCAGGCGAGGCACTGATCTGGGCCAGGACCCCAACAGCCGGCGTCAGAACACAGCGGGTTACACACCATGCGCTCCTTAGCTGCTCAATGCAGACATAAGCACAAAGAAACCAGTGTAAAAACAAAGAAATTACATCCATGTAGAAGCAGTTGTGCATTGCTGACTCGGTGCAGATGCAGAGAGTAAACCCTCATTTGGCTCCAATTAGCCAGATATAAAATCATCCAAAATAGTCACATTATTTATGAAGAAGAACAGGGCTAGATGAAATAAAGCATGCAATTTGCGAGGGTTTATTTTCGCATTAAATATCTCTGCCTCTAGAGAGCAGCTCCTAATTTGCGGTGGTCTATAAAAGGTGTGTTTTTCTGGGTACGACTCTCCTTAACAATGGCAGGGATAATTGCAGAAAGACGGAGTAATAGGTGTAGGGCTCAACGACTTGCCGACGGATGATGCTTTTTTTATGCAGTGAATAACAAATTGTCAAACGATATGTATCCAGCTGTCCCAAATAATTACCCTCATGGGTGAACTTAAAGAAGACCAAGTTCCTGAAACAAAATGCTCTCATTTGATCGCCGAAACAGTTACACTTTTCAAAACATTAATGAGCCAATGTGAGCAAACTGTATATTCTGTGTAGAATCTATGCAAAGTGTGTGTGAAGGACTGTGTGATATGGCTCACTGTGGAGATAGCCATGAAGTACACTTCATTATACAAATGCTAAGTTAACAGTGACAAAGCACTATTGGAAACTAGCAAGCACCTGCAGCTGCCATGCAGAACATTTTATTTAACTTGGACTTATAGAAAGGAAGCTGAAAATCTATTTATAACCTCATTTAAAGGCTTTCATTTAAAACACAGCCTTAACAGCTCTTACTCTTTTTTGTTGTTGTCAAAAGGCTTAAATATATTGAATATTATAAATTCAATTTGATTAGTCCAATGACATCAGTATCTGCTTTCAACAACCAAATCCATAGCACCACATATAGAGAACAAATAACCTTTTGCAAAGTCATGTGAAGCTTTTGATTTACAAAAAGACAAGCATTAAAAGTGCCCACTCACAGCGAACATCCTATGCTGCTCTCGCTGTTTCTGCCTCACAGTTTCTCATATAGTTCCAACTACCAACAGACTCCATTACAACAGGCCATTACATTTCCGCTTTGTGTCTGGATCTCTTATCTCTCCCTTTCTCTCTCTCACCCGTTCCCTTTCAGCTCCGTTTCCACAAAGGTTGCTACATCTGAGAGCATTACAGTGACAAAATGAGTGTTCAAGTAACGTGGTGACAGCACTGCACATACAGTACACTCAGAACTTTTACCATCCCATCTACGTCTCACATTATTTCCCACTAGTCGGGATTTTCAAAACATCCTCTCTTCTCTTCTCTTCTCTTCTCTTCTCTCCCTCTTCTCTTCTCTTCTCTTCTCTTCTTCTCTTCTCTTCTCTTCTCTTCTCTTCTCTTCCTCTTCTCTTCCTCTTCTCTTCTCTTCTCTTCCTCTTCTCTTCTCTTCTCTTCTCTTCTCTTCTCTTCTCTTCTCTCTCTTCTCTCTCTTCTCTCTCTCCTCTCCTCTCCTCTCCTCTCCTCTCCTCTCCTCTCCTCTCCTCTCCTCTCCTCTCCTCTCCTCTCCTCTCCTCTCCTCTCCTCTCCTCCTCTCCTCTCCTCCTCTCCTCCTCTCCTCCTCTCCTCCTCTCCTCCCCTCCTCCCCTCTCCTCTCCTCTCCTCTCCTCTCCTCTCCTCTCCTCTCCTCTCCTCTCCTCTCCATCTTTGAATAGATGGATAAAAAAAAGCTGTTTTCAAGGTCCTGGACACATGTGAGCAAGGGGCCATGCCTCAGAGTCAGCAATAGCCATGTTTAGAATAATTAAAAAAAGGGAGACAAAAAGATTCAGAGACATGGAGAAAAAAGTGTTTCTTAGAGAGCAGAAGATGAAAGCGTTGCCTTCAACAAGAGAACAAGAAAACACCTCAGCCTCCAGCACTCTAGGTAAACTGACCAGGGAGAAGAAAGAAGAGGAGATGGGTGATGAAAAAAAGTGAATAAACAAGGGAAGAGGAAGCGTTGGATGGCTTTTTTAGGAAACAGCAGCTGCAAGATCAAAAGAATACCAACTTCAGATGTTGCTGACATGGTTGGAAAACAACAGCCCATGAGGCTTGTGCTGTCAGGTGCCTTTAACGGTCTCAGGGGAGACAACTGGATAACATGATATGATGATGATGTATCTCGCTTTCACTAAAGAGTGTATGCTACCGTGGAAATGATCCTTGATCCTATGCAACATGCAGTTGGGAGCGTTTTGAACTACATGGTATACACTAAAATGGTAGGTTTCTTCAACTACATTTTGCATAAAATTACGAAACTGCAAGATTGCGGCTCCTGTATACTTGATATTTTGGTAACACTTTTGCAGTAGGATATTTTATATATACAGTCAAATGTATGGAGTGACCATTACAATCGTTCACCTAAGGGATGCAATCGATACAATCCCTGCTAGAGCATGTTGCCAAAATGTGCTCATGTGATCACACCTTTTATTTTGAAAGTGAACTACATTGGTTTTCATCAGAAGAGAAATGGTCTACATAAGAGTAAATGCTATTATGCCACTTGTTGTGATTAGACCTCTGCTACGTTTGAAGCAACTAAGGACAAAGGTGTAACTTGTCCTACCCCAAAACATGTGTATGTAAAGGAGAGGAAGGGAGATGTAACTTAAGAGAAGTCTGAACACAGATAAACCAAATCATCCATGTGGCTTTTTTATGAATATGTAGTGCATCCTTTGAGACAATACAAATAAAGGTGAGTGTCTTATTTGCACGACCAAACCAACATGTACTCAATAACACTATTGGTTCTACTGATAAAACCTCAAGCTTGACAAAAAAAGTATTTTTTCTGTCAAAAACTTTTTAGTTCACTTTCCCCGACCTGTCAAATTATGCTAAATGATCAGTGAAGATCATTTCTAAAACAGGGTGATTTTCATTTAAAGTAGGCAGACTTAAGGAGAGCGCCCTGTCAAAACAGAACATCATTTTCAGATGATCAGATCCAAAGCTGTCAGCAGAAATACTCAACTCTAGTTATTAAGTCTACAGCCAGACGTGTTTGGTCTTGTTGGGTGAGCAAAGATTTGACTTATTTGACAACAAATATCAATTAAACTAAACTATCAACTCAAGCTCTTAAAACTTTTGGAAGAGTGTTGAAACCTCTTCAACCTCACAGCATCAATGCATTGGATTATTTTCAGTTGACCTCTCGCTGGATGCATGAGGCTATCACACCAAGTGAACAGTTTTGTAATCCTGATGTCACTGTCTATTGCCAGATAAGTTTTCACAAGGGTGATTGAGTTTATGGCCCATTGATGGAAGTATTGCAATATTGATTTATTTTCAGTATTGAACTTGGACTCTATGGTGACATTGCTGGAAACATGCTGTATTCAATTAAGTAACGTAGTTCTGCATATGGAAGCCTAACATTATTTGGATGTGCCTGTCAAGAGGCTATGCAACTGCTGGGGGTCATTATGCAGTTTATCAAAAGTACAAAGTTTAATTAAGCCACCTTAAGGAGAAATGTATGCCTGATCAGAAGACTTTTCAGAAGTTGTGCTTTGCACTGCAACGCACAACCATTTTATTTAAATCTGGATTATGTGTCCATCAGACAATCTGAAGCAGGTGGATTCTTTTCCTGAAATATTGTAACTTAATTTACATTTCAACTTTGTGCAAAAAAGGCAGAAATATTTTATTTTTCACTTACCAACTGTAAATAGGGTGTTGTGCAAAATCAAACAGGACTTACATCTTAATGATTGCAACTTTTTGTATGATTATACATGAAATACATGAAACTATTCTAAACGCAATAGCACATAGAATTAGCATATAGAAAGTACAACTGTATACAACTGTTATCCCTGTTTTCAGGTCTCTCCATTTACCTACATAATTCTACATCACATCGACATACACTGAATAAATGGCCACAGGCAGTCTTCTCCTCTGTCTCTGCCCCATAAGGGTGTGAGACCTGCCCTTTTCCAGTCCCCTGCCAAGCTCAGTCAAGTGTTGACACACACACACACACACACACACGCACACACACGCACGCATGCACGCACAAACGAAGGCACTCACATATGCACACACACACACCCACACACCCTGATGCACACATGCAGAGCCATGTCAAGGAGAGCAGTGTGTGACTCTTGAGTCTCGCCCAAGTCTTCAAAGTCACTGAAGAGAAAGAGTGTGTGCCCAACACTGAGGAACTGCCCACGGGAACCGCGAAAAGGGGCCAACTCAATAATGCAAATACTGGCTCATTAATGAACACTATACATAAATGAATAATGTCTTAACACTTGTGGCAGTGATATAATGAAATATCTTCCAGTTTTAGAAACACATTCTTTTTCAGAACTACACGTATTTAGCTAATTATCTTTCTTTTCTGAATGCTTCTGTTGGGAATTATTCCTATTGCGTAATATTTGTTATTGAGTTGTCTTTAGAAATAAGTTAGATAATAGTGTCCACTCTTCCGACAGACATAAAGTAATAGAAATAACAAGTTTGTTTCTGCTATTATATGTTCAGTGCCCATGCTGCATTCTGAAGGAGCAGAGTGAAGTTATAAAAAGAAAAAGGATTTCCTCAACCAGAAAACAGTATATCAAAGAGCCTTAGCAGAAATGGGAGCTTTTACTTTCCTTGAAAACCATTGATTTGGAGCATCGATGTAATGGTCAGAGAGTTGTCTAAAGTTGCATTTGAGTCAGGTTAACAATCCTAAATTCTGTCAAACCATTAGTGTCTGACTCTGCTGCTACAGCATATATCTCAAACAGAAAGCAATAAAACAGTCAAACAAAAAACACAAAAGTGTTCTCAATGGTGCCTGCGGCTTCACAACTGATGTTAAAAGCAAGACTAGAACACAAAGAATACATCACAGATTAGAGAAGTGATTTCACATTTTATCAACTTCTTTAGGGTTTTAGAGTGTAAGACTCAGAGGGACAAAAATGGGAAGGTGAAATAATATTTGAGATCAGTGAAGATTTCAGGCAGGATTGGGTAAAAAAACTAACTGGGCTGGTGAACAAGATTACGTGTCAGACAAGTCACAGTGGCTCCATTCTTGGAAATGTGGCTTTTTTTTATCCTGGGAGCACAACAACAGGTGTGTTTTCCTAAATGTACTGTGATGATTCCTGTGTTTGTCATCTACATATATTCACTAGTTACAGCCTCGGGCTAACGTGTCTGATACAGGAGTCATTTGCATTATTAAATATAAGCTTCCCTCCAGATTAAAGTAAACGATGAGATATGTCATGTTGGTGTTTTTAATAACCACAGATGCTTTGCATGTCTTTTAGGGATGGGACGAGATGAGTTAATAATTAGGAAGAGTGGGCTATGTGTTACAATAGAACAAAATGTTAAAGAAATGCTACTACTTTGTACGTCAGACAGTGTAGAATCACCATTGCAGTTAAATCATATCAGGGTATATGCAGGAATCCTGAAGTCCAATGTAATACCTTTTAAGACCTTTTTTAAGACCCTTTCCATACATTTTAAGACCTCATCGCCACTTCGAGTTTTAACCGGTTACTTGGAGACACACTTTAGCTCACATTTACTATATACAGTATGGATTGTCCTTCCTCCTTATCTTCCAACCATTTGGACGCAAACTTGCATTTCTCCATAACGATGTTAAAACAACCGGCGTAAACGGACCTTCGCGCGCTATCGAGCAGTGAGCGTGCGATGTCCTGTTTAGATGACGTCAAATCCAACGGGATGCCATAAATAAACTACACATAATCACACTACACACCTACGCAATGATTACATTCAGGCACACTGTAGAATACAACCTCTTTGGACAATTTATATACTTATTGAAAACAAGCTACAAAATGTAATACCTTGGAAAATGCTGTTTAATACTTTTTAATAGCCTTCATTTTCGCTAAATTGATTTATCAACTTTTAATACTTTTTAAGACCCCCGTGGCATATGTGTTTTAGGAAATCAAAGCAAATTGATTAATCTCCACTTGCTACAGGTTCACTTCTTTGATGTGTGGGATGGTTTCGGTATGAACTTACAGCACTTCTGTGGGCTTTGGTTGTTGCGGATCAGAACCTTCTGGTTTTCAGCACGGAACAGTCTGGTCCAGTTCACGGTGCTGTAGTAGCAAAGCTGGCTGTTCTCTGCGATGTGGACATTCCCAGCGCTGATCTCTCTCAGGGACTGCAGCTGCAGAGACGTGATGCCCTGCTGCTTCAACACCAGCAGGGAGATCCCACTGAGAGGGAAGAATGGGTGGGGGGAGGGGGGGAGGGGATGGGAGGAGATGGCGAGACAGGAAGAGGAGGAAGATGAGAGGAGCAGGAAGAGATGGGATAAGGTTTAACAGAGAGTGGAAAGGGAAGAGGCAGAGAGGATTTATTTCACTGGTTTTGATCCCTAATTAGACAAAAAAAAAGTATTAAAACAATTTCCTCTGTCATGTTATTCTGTGACCTATTTATGAAGGTTGTATGTTTTTGTAAATAAATGGCTTCATGTCCAACAAAATATTTGTTTTTGTGTATAATACCTTTTTAAGGAAAATGTAAAGCTCACTGGATTGGAATAATATCATTTAAAATATCTAAAACCCTGCTGTTGATGTCAGGCAGAGATTATGTAATGCAATTCATAAAAATGAAAATAATGACCATAAGTAAAGCAACCTAACACATGGATCTTACACCCAAAGCAAGGATTCACTGAACACCCTATATTTGAAACACTAATGCAGAATAGGTGCATATTAATTTATTATAATTCTTATGGGACATGATTAGTGAAACACACCAAGCAACAAGCATGGGCATGGAGCTTGTTTATTTATGTTGCTCAATATATAATTAAAAACAATATCCTAGGATACACTTATTTGAATTGTGAATAATATATAAATAGAAAGTGTGTACACATTAAAAAAACATGTATAACGAGAATGCTATTGCTCTCTCTTCCTACTGTATAGCCTATGCAGCAATTTGCAATCTGGATTGGCCTATACATGCTTGAAATCAATCAAGCTTAAATTAAATATGTGCACTACATATAAGGCCTGACCAACATCATTTGGTATACTTTAACGGACATATTTAACACATAACTTTTATTTCCTCAGTGTATTCATCTGCTAATCTTGTCAATTATCAGCCTATGTGTTGCACTTGAGCCACTGAGACACAAATTAATGGAGATCAACTGGATTGTAGAATAAAATCCAAACATAATATTCAAAGGCATGTGACTGTAAAGTGGAAAACACATTTGCAGTATGTTAAAGTAAGCAATCAGAGAAACAAATTACTAAAGTACTAAAGTGGGGAAACGAGTAGCCACATTTCAATTCATTTTTTAAATAAACAATACAGATACAGTAAACAACACCTTCGAAAAAAAGGCGATTATCACATTTTTTGTGAACAATTGTTACTTTACAACATTTTACTATACTGTGTATAGATTATTAAATATGTTTCCTCTGTACATTTTATTCCTTGTATTCCAGTTTTTTTGCTAAATCTTGCTGCAACAACAACATATTTTACAAATGTTTTCCTCATTTTACACTAAAGCCACTAGTACTTTTGTTTCTATTCTTCCATGCCTCCACCTTTCCCCATACCCCCACTTTCACAAAATAAAAACGACAGTGGGTTGTCAAGGCCTTGCACATACATACACACACACACACACACACACATGCATGCACACACCATCAGATGCACACTTTGTTTTTGTTCCAAATGTCATAGCAAATCTGTGGACACCTTTGGAACTATCAGTAACAATTCATTATAAATAATTATGTTCTATCAGATGTCTAAACTAAGCCATTACCAAAAGGTGTTTTGGGCCTCAACCAACCAACTGTTTTGATTTGATGTAAACCATATTTCTTGGTGACTAACTAACTCATTAGCTATGGAAGCACAACAAACCAAGTCTATTCTAATTCAATTTGTAGTCAAATATATAAAAAAGCAACACAAATCTTAATACAATAATTTAGCATGATGTAGGATACTACTATCTTTAATCCTCTGTCTTGTTACAGAGTGCTACAATGGACATTTCACATCATGACACTCCCTCTGCAATACATTATGGTAGCATGTTGAAGTTATGTGTTGAATTAATTATAAACTGGCTAGTTGTGCTAACAATAAAAAAAACGGATAATCTGGTTAAAAGATTGAACATTTTAAAAGGTGTCCTAGGAAGTTATTGACTTTTAGAAGCATTAAGGAGTAGTGTTTATATAAGTGGGTACCATTACTTTGTCTCATGCGCATGCACGAAGACCATAGACTGTGTATATATAAACGAGGACACACTAGTTTATGCATGATTGGTTTGAAAAATCAGTTCAGCCATTGGTTTAACACAATTCCGTTGATCAACACAATAATGCTGCAAGAGACACAACAATGTGTCAACAATGGCAAAGAAGAAAAGGGCTTCAGCATGTCAAATGTTTTCTGAGAAATTAAATGCCATTGACACATTTACTAGACCTCAAGGATACAGAAAATAATTGTTTGTGCGTTTCGCTAAATGTAAGCAACAGTTTGTTTACAGGGAAGCCACAACTACTTAGTCTCTGATTAAGTGGGATGCTTTAAAATGTTTGATAAACCCAATCAACACTGAATTAAGTCTGGTTTTACTTTGTGAAGGAACTCTTATTTAAGAGAAACATTGTGATATTCAACATTATTCACTTTTTAATAAATCTAAACCCATACAGATATTATTAGCATAGCTTTTTTTCCCCTGAGAACCAAGCTCTGTTTAAGGCGGCGATGACACAGCTATGATATATATTACACTCATGGTCCAAAACATTTCTTATCCAGCAAATCATTAGTTCTCAGTTTTGTACCTGTATAGCGCTCTTCCCCCAATAGTTGCCAGGTTGGAGAAGACACTCAGGTCTGTCATGTTGTCAGGCCAAGACTGGATGTTGAGATAGCCTAAATGTGGACACAGACACACACAGACACACAGGTTACACTGTAATGAGTCACCAGTACCTACACACTAATATCAACTGTCTATCATATCCTCTATTTCACACAGTGACAAGAATACAATGAGATGGGAGAATTGGAAGCTTGAATTAGAAACCTCCGAGGACCACCGTTACTACTCCACCTGAGTCTCATCTGAAGGCAACAAAGCCAAAAAAAGTTGTACTGTAGGCACACAATCTCAACAAAGGTGTTTGGTGCCAGCTATGACAAGTGTAAGGTTTGACATATCAATATTTTTGCATTTCCTTTATCCGCCTTTCTACTGTTGAATCATTTAGAAGACTGAATTAATAGCTGATGGGATGGTTGTGGCTCATTTAGGATATTCAATAATGGATTTAGATATATGAAATATTAAGTAGAGAAGGGGGGTTATAACCCACAGGCTAACACCAGCGGACAAACAAGAAGTTGGATGAGGCTTTGAAATGAGGAATAAAATGCAGGTAAAGGAGCAAAAGTAAGAGATGAGTAGGAAGAAGCCTGATAATAGGGGTCCTGGTAGCAATAACAAAGACACATTACTTTATCGTCCAAAGAAAACACAAAGGCCAAAAGCCGCTGCTCTATTGCCTTGCTGACAAAGGAGGAAGGGAGAGCTGGTGGTGGATGATGAGAAAAAACCTTGAGGGTGTAATGTGTTCTTCAATCAATGAACAGTTTTTGACTCCATAATAATAAACTGTGTGGTTCACTCCCACGGGATGCATAACTTCTGTTGATCCAGAAAGGGAGGGAAGGTGGAGAGAGTTAAGCAGTGTTGCGGAGAGAAGGCAGCTCATGGCTTGTTGACAGGAGAGCAATAACCTTTAAACAGAACCTTTATCAGCTTGTGGATGCCGTTATGTTTGTTATGTCTATCCCAGCTGAGAAGCGGCAGGGTTTGAGCGAATGCTTATTAACTGTGTTTGATGAAGAAATTAGAAGAAAAAAAAGTCAGGTAATTTGTGGGGAATTACACACCGGGGCTCATACAAATGGACATGAGCTGAATGCGATACAAATCTTTATACAACATCTATTCTTCTTATGTAAGCGCCCAATGTGTCAAATCAGGTTAAAAAAAAATATATACCAGAAAATATTTCTTACATTTTTCACTAAATAGAAAACAGCACTTCTCAGTACAGCCTTATATAACACTCTTTATTAGTTTAAATCTTTAATCCCTTTTCCCAGAGAAGATACAACCTGTATAATAATGGCTTCAATTATAATGGTATAGTAATGGGAATGAATTCCGTTGTAAAACATGATGTGATATTTATACAGAATCCTCAGCCTGCATGCAGGAAACTGGTTGTTTGTGAAAGCTACTGTAAGGTTATGGTATTTTGTTGCATTGCATCCAGAACCCTGACCTCATGGTGTGCATCTTAGGACGCCAAGGGCCCCTACAGAATCATTACAGTTGTATTTGTTGCCACTAATTGTTTTAATGATAACACCTGCAGCACAGAGGCACCTCACCGCCCCATCATAGTGCTCTTTCGGGGATGCCGGTGCATCCTAATAAAAGAAACAAGCTATTGCCTGCTGCACATTTGTCTGTGTTAATTTAATACTGAGCATGTGCTTTGGTTGCTAAAGGTACACACTGATTCTCTGTGGACACATTGTACATTCCGCTAACTTCTAGAACAAGTGTATATTTAATTGTTTAAAGGGGGCATATTATTATTTGTAGGGTTTTCCCTTTGCTGTAGTGTGTTATCTAGGTTTTTGTGCATGTAAATGTATATTGGCAGTACCGTGGAGCTTTGGAGTCGGGCACAGATGGATGGTGCTGATGATAATGAAGCATTCCTCGCTTCCATGAAATATCGTTTGGAGTTAAAGATAACGTCTGAAAATGTTTTATGTTGTTCTTATCAAACTGTAAGGAAATTATTTTTAAAAGACCAAAACCAACAATGACTTAATTGTACTGACAGGAAATGTCAGTGTAGCCTGATACAACTTATTTATTTGTCTAACAGTTCTCCAAATCAGTAAGCTATGGCATCGCCTTGGGAGAAATGGTCTTTCAAATACACTGCAGTTCATTTTTAGTCAATCACAAAAACACAGTCCAGATGCAGCTAAAACTCGCAATAACTTATACATCGCGATCTGTAAATACTGTAGTCACCATGTGCAATATTTACTTGCTTTTCAGAAACCTTTGTTGAAAGCTGCCCAGCTGTTTAGGGAAACTACCAGCCCTCTTTTTACCAAATCAAACTATATTGTTGTACCATATTAAATGATTTATAGTAGATCTTCAGTAGGACATACTTTGGCTTGTGAAGCAGACTAGGTTGGGAAGTCAGAAAGTATAGAACAAACAAACCATTGTATTGTTTGTTTGGTCTTTTCATGGGATTTGTTGAGGACTAAAAAGCACAACATAGCAGTCTATGTGATGTGTAAAAATAATAAAATCATAGATTTGAAACTATTCCACAAAAGAAACACCTATATGCTAAAGTATTCCAGTGAGTCAAATATTATCTGTAATACATGGGCAATACTTAGTCAGCTAATGGGAATTATCTTAGTAATAGGTGTGATGGGGGGTAAATGCCAACGCTAATCTTTTAGCGACTTCCCCTTCTTCTAACCTCTTTCAATTAGTGCTTTTGTGCATGAAAAGCAAAGTAAAAAGATCACCTATAGCTGCAGAGCGTCACATCAGTGGCACGCCAATGCACATGACAAATTACAGCTTGGAGCCACTTAGAGAAGAAGGCCATGAGATCACAAGCAAAGGTTAAGAGGGCTTAAATTGTGGTGATTACATTCCGAGCCAAAACACCTAGAAACCCACTTATGCTAAATTGCGTGAGTTGATCGCCCACTCTTTGGGCGAAGCTTGAACTTGTGATATGTCTTTGAAGACATAGGAGAAGCATGAGTCGCTTAAAGAAAGAAAGGAGGAGAAAATAAAAGGATTGGAGGGAGAGAGAGCTGTCTTCCTACAGGGCTAATTTGAAAGCTACAGCAGTGCCAGTTGCGACCTTGGGGTCACAGAGGCAGGTTGGCTGCTTCTGTCAGAAGTCACGTTCTCCTGACAGCTCAGAGGGACGACAAGCGTGGCTGACACACATCTCGGACTACATGCTGCTTGGGCAATGGTTTGTCACCATCACCTGCTCTCAGACTGCCATCACCAAACAAAACGGGAACAAATTCTAGATAGGAAATCGTATTATTCCATTATTGTACTAAGTATTTTCTAAAAATCCCTTCAAAATGCACTCAGATTTTTGCATCCAAGCACACATTTTGAGCTCAAAATCTGAAACAAATAGGTGATTTTTTAAGACAACAGGTAATTCTGCAGTTAATGAGTAAATTACAGCTCTACAGCGGTTCTTCTTTTTCCTCCGCAGGCTGCTGAGGTTCAACATGGACTCCAGGACACTCTGCAACTTCTACAGGTGCACCATAGAGAATATCCTGACTGGCTGCATCACGGCCTGGTACGGCAGTTGCAACGCCCTCAACCGTTACGCATCCTACACACGGTTTCTTCAACGGAGACGCTTCCCATTCACTTTGAATGGGGTGACGTCAAGCTTTGCCGAACTGCATTGTGGTTCCGTTGCTTCGCTTTGCCTGCGTTGCTCGCGCTGAAGGTTGAGAGAAGTTCAACTTTTCAAGCGTCGACGGAAGCGCCATATAATCAAATCATATGGCAGTACAAGCGCTAGCCAATCAATCGCGTGCTTTGTGTGTCCGGGCCGGGAGATTAATGTGATTGGTTGTTGGTCGCGCGCCAGCTACGCCCACCGGCAAGCGTTAACGCGATGGAACCGTGTGTAGGTTGCGTTAGACTCTACAGAGGGTGGTGAAAACTGCACAGCACATTACCAGGAAGGAGCTGCCATCCATGGAGGATCTCTACACCAGCGGCTCTGGTTCAAGGTTCTTTATTGTCAATCTGACATAGCTACAGAGTAATTATGCAGTTGAAAATCTTATGTCACAGGCTTCTCCAACAATGCAACATAATAACATAACATAATGAAAGCCGTAGTTGTATATATAACATAAAACCTTTTGAATTTTGTATTGAATTTGAATTGAATTGCTTACTATATTTATAATATATTATATATTACGTTTTAAAGCCTTTTAATCTCTTCTGCCTTCCACCTTTTGCACACTCAGCCATTCTGAAAGGAAATATCTTAGACCAGGCTTAATCAAGTAGTAATCAATGGTTTCCTACCTCTAACAAGATTATAGATTTGTTAGTTTGTTTCTTAATCCTGTTCTTTGATTGTTCCATTTGATTAAACCTTTCTTTCCGTTCCCGTCTATTCTCTTTCCTTCTGTTTTTCCTCTTTTAAGTTGTTGACCATTGGATCAGAGCTTGCTGGAAAGACAAAGAAATTCAATACAAGTGGATGTGATTCTGGGCTGACCTTTAAAGAGGACTAGAAATTAGCATTCATTGACTTCTTTGGTCAGTTGCTGTTTCCAATAAAGGAAGAGCACATCAGCCATGTTTGATACATGTTTGAAATGAAAGTAAATGTGTTATTTGGGGGTAAAAAGGGGATACTGTGTCATAAAGCGGCTGTTTTGGTAACCCCCTTTTCAAAAAGCTCAATAATGTCTCCAACAATATTTCAACAGATATATTTTCTTATATCATGAGAGAGTGTCACAGCGCAGACACAAGGTTTCTTTCAGATGCCATTGTCAAATGTCCAGCTATAGAAATGACAGGGGAGCTGGAGGATTAACGATGCACACCACATGTCCTGGATCTTTTCTTCATGGTGCGTGAAGGGAGAGCTGGGACTGTGGGACTCAAGGCTAGGGACTCCCCGAGGGAGAAGCAGCAGAGAGACATAGGAGATTGAAAGACTCATCTGATATTCATCTTATGCTGCGATGTCTCTCCTTGGTGTGGACAGTCTCAGGGGGTGGGGGGGGGACACACACACACAGATACACAGTCAAGCACCACGTACTGTATATGCACACTTTATCTGACAAAAAAGTGCAAGAGAAGGGATTATTGGAAGGGTCAATTTTTTTTGTTTACTATTTAATTCATATGCATGTGCAGAGGCATGCTGTGCAATGATATTACTCACCGGTGATCTCCCGTACGGTGCGGAATACATTTAGTTTTTCTGGGTCCAAAGCTTCAATGTTGTGATACACATCCCTGACAAATGATAATGGGAGATTAGAACACAGCAAACAACACAATGAAAGATAATAGCATCTATATTTTACACTGTATAGATAAGCAATGTGCCTCTTGATCACAGCAATGACCAAGTAGGTGTGCTCACCCAGAAATAGACAATTTAGAGAAAAGGATCATTTCAGAACGGGATGTTTCACAGAATATGTGCATTATGAATTATTCATTTTCTTGCTAAAGTTGCTAAAATGAAATGATTTTTTGCATGCATAAATAATGTATATCTATCCTCATTTTTATATAAACACATTTGTTTTAGGGTCACCCTCTACACTACCCACATTTCTTTACATTCATTCATTTATGAGTATATATATTTAACAGCACTCTTCTTACTCTCCAGGCGCTTTCAACATACTTATTTCACGCTTGCCATGACTGACATGGAAACATTATTTATATTCATTCGGACAATTAACACAAGGCTTGAAGACCTAACATGTTCAATAATGATCACAGTTCCACTTTTGCACCCACTCTTTCATCATTCTTATGAGCTAAATGTGTTTAAGTCTCACCCTTTGATCCCAGTGATGAGGAACACCAGGTTGCCGTTGATTTTGGTGCAGTTCACAAACTGGTCGATGTTGCTGGAGTCGACTGTTTGAGCCGTCTGTAGACTGGCTGTACCAATGCCATCACATGCTGCGACACACAGGGGGATAGACAAAGTGCATGTATGTAATGTGCAGCAAAATAAAGATGAGGGCTGTCAACGCCTTAAAGTCACGATCAATCTGGAAACGGGTTTTTAAAAACAATTATTCAAATTGATCACATGACCAAGGTTCACCAAAAGTTGCTCCTTGCATGTTTCAATGCACAATGATGTCATGTCCCTGGATGATGCAGTTGTGTGACATTTTGTAAGAATTAAAACTACATCTCCTATACTCCCTGTATTTCCCCATTGTTCATTGTGCTTATATTCATGTCTCAGCATTAATGTGGAAATAATCTTGCAATCGCCAAGTTATTTCATTTAACAACTTTATATACGGCTAAACAAATAGGAACTTAATTACAGATAACATTCTTAAACATCTATGTGTGGTTTACCTTTCGGGCAGATGTCGGTACAAGCAATGCACATCTTAATGCGGTTCTCCTCCACCTCCATCTTGTTACTGGGGCACGCTCTCACACAGGAGCTATGGTCCACCACAAAGTTATCTGAAAAACAATTCACTGTAAATGTCAAGTACAATGGCTGCTGTCACACGAGTAAATACCATCACATAAAAAAGTTTTGAAAGTCACTTTCATTCACTTGGTCTGAAAGAGGCTTTTCTGACTGCACATGGATTACATTGAAGGGTAACACGTTCATGTTTTTAGCATGCCAATGTAATCATTTAATGAAATGTATGTTGTTTTATAAAATCCTTTTTTGAATAAGTATTCATTATTGAAACACCCTGAAGTCATTTTTTAATGCTCTGGTAAAGAACAATGTTTGTGTCTAGTGTTTTTGGGTTTTGTTTACTTGGACCAGGTTTCAAGTCTCTTTGTTTGGAAGACCAATACACATTATTGGCAAATACAAATAGGTGTCAGTAGGCTCTGGAAGGTCCAAAAACATCCACATAATGACACTATAGAGTACGCCACATATGGACAATAGGGATACACACATATGGACAGTAGGGATACACTTGGGCACTCTGCCAAACATAATGATCTAGACTGTGTCCCACCACTTTGTGGTCATCATGAACACAGAGTCATGAGTTTTAAATATACCTGTAAAAAACCACATTCATCAGTTTTCAGTCTGAATGGGAGATTTTGGATGAAAGTGTTAGATGGGTTTCTGTACATGTACACACTTTACAATCTTCTTTCCCTACATTTTTTTTACAATTTGTAGATTTGTCATCTTCTCTCTATGCAGGGAAACACCGTTTGAGGTGGGGAGTCATAGCTATCCAATGTTTTCTTGGCTTATGTTTAAACATAGAAGCAATCACTTGCAAATTGACACTAAAGGAGGCCTTGCTCTACTGTATCTATTTATCTGCGCATGAATGCATGTGCATTATAATCTTTGCTAAGAGCTAAATATTGTACTGGCATTATGCAAATAGGATTATAATGGCTTATTTTGACAGATGCTGTGATACACAATCATTTTAAGCATTCCGTGTTTTTGTATCGCAGGCTTTATGTATCAAGTAATCAACTTTTCTCTAATCCTCAGGGACAGCAGTAATGGGTGGGATTCAATTCCCTATTTTGAATGTGTTATTATTTCACTCTACCACAATACCATATGTATTTGCTAAAGGAAAACTATTAAGCGTTACCATTAAAAGAAAGCTTTATAAACTAACATTTCTTTCTTTATAAAAATAAATTAATATTGGAATTAGCATTAACCCTTTGTTTTCAACTTAGTGTGGGGGGGACATCATCAGAAACTCATGTTTCTCTGTTCACCTTCAATCACTAACATAATGTATTGAGCAATCAGTGAATTGTTACCTCAAAATGCATGAAACAGTGTTTTCTTGCAGAAGGAAATGGAGACTTGAGAACATAAGGAAAATAAGCGGTGGATATATATTTTTTTTTAATCAAAAATGGTGTGTTTTAGGTCAGCCATTATAGGTTAATGACTTTATAATAAGGTCATCAAAGGTAAAGTATTGTTGTTGTTTTTTTTCTGTGTGTGTTCTGGTAGACTTACGAGGACACTTCTTGACACAGAAGGCTCCATAGGTGTACTTTGCTCTGGGGTTGTATTCCAGCTGGAAGGTGGTGGGGTTGTAGACAAAGGGCTGGGGGCACTGGGTCACACACGCCCCACTGTCATTGAAGTTGGTGCAGGCCTGCAAGTGCATACACACAGAGCAGACACAGTGTTGGTACAAGTATTTAGATTCTTTACTTTACTTAAAGGGTCATTTTATCAAATTAAACATTCTCTCACTTATCCCTGTATGCTTCCAATAGAGGGGGTTAATGACAGTTGGACATGTGCCTTTACATAATACATAGCAAAAACATAAACTCCTGTGCCTAAACTTCATTAGAGGATGCAGCCATTAATCTCACTACACCAGCTTTGAGTTGAGAATTTCCTCAGAGTTGCCTCAGAGTGCTCAGAGGAGACATTATTAAATGGTGCAGCGAGAGAATAATTTGCGTGCACCCAATGAAATTACCATTGGGATAAGTGTGATTCGCCTTTCCTGTCAGGTACCTGGGCCTTTAACTTGTGTTTGGCAAATGTGGGAAAATGTGAACAATGTGTATTGACACAGTTGAACCAGAAATTGTACCTACAGAGAGCTACTTAACTGTGTGGGTATAATACAACATGAAGTATGAAGAATTAAGAAAAAAAGAAAGAAAGAACTTGCCATTCCAAAGCCAGGCAGTTAAGCTCCATAAGTAATGGGCAATGATTTACAAGATGAACATGCAGAGTGCCAGAATGGAGGGGAGGCTGGTGAAGTCTGTATTTAACAATGCCACTCAAGAACAAATTGAAATGTCATTTATTGGTATTTGCCATACAACTGGAATTTTAACACACACCAAAAAATGCCATCTTGATAGAAGAAATCTTATTGCAAAAGTAGTATGAATTGTAGATAGCTAAAAGTCACTAGTAAAAAGTGACAGGTTTGAGAAAAGAAATGTGAAGTACAGAATGATTCAACATTTTTTGTGGGGTTTGTATGAAATGATATTAACATGTCAACATGTTTTAAGTATGTATGCGTATGTGTGTGCGTGTGTGTAAGTGTTTGTGTGTAAGTGTGTGTCTGTGTGTTCAACTTACAAAGCAGTCGGTGTCTTTTGGTCCATAGCAGCCACCCGCACACTCACGATGGCAGCAGTCACTAACATAGGGACCGAAGCAACGGCCATCACACTGCTCAGCACACACTGTCTTAGTTACTGTGGAGTGACAGATGTAGAAAAGACGGAGAGAAAGAGAGGACACACATATCATAAAACAAGTAAACATTACATATAACTTATGTGGCTCACTGTTAGTCTTAAAAAAAGAATGGGCAATATTACTGAATATAGAATGACATAAGAAACATTTCATTTTTCCATATAGGATTGTTATGAATGTTTGAGATTCAATGTGTACCTTTTGCTCGAGCAATATGTATTAAATTAGTGTCATGTAGGTCAGGCTAATTACCTGGATTGAAATTAAATTAATTCAGAAAAACGTCTATCTAAAATGTCTACGCACAACCATAATCTTCCACACCTACCTACTAGATAAACAGCTACATAACATAGTAAAATGTATGCATGTGTTTGTTTGCGTGTGGGGTGAGTTTAATTGAAGTTGAAGTATCCCTGCCACCTACTAGCTATCTTCAATCATGTGTTCGTCTCCCTGAATGCTCTTCTGAGGGCCTCTAGCTGGATTTGACAGAGACATAGTGATTCCTATCTGACTCTGTGTGCCGTCTTCCCTCCATGGTGAGCGTCTGTCCACCCTTTCTTTGCATGGCTGTCACAGTCATATGGGCTGCCGTAAGCCTGTGTGCCTCGCTTCTTGACAGCCATATGTAAATGCATATAGGTCTGCCATTTCACAGATACAGAAACACACACATTAAGTGTCAGCAGGGGAATCTATAAAAGAGAGCAGGGAAACCTCACTTTAACTATTGGGGATGGATAAAGCAATGACACTAACACTGTAAAAAGTTGAACACACTTGCCGCTTAGCAGTGAAATAAAAAAGAAGAGCAACAGCTGCATGCGGTGGGCCACTGGCACATAGTGTTTTCTAGCATGAAGGGCAGCAAACAAGGCACGGCATCACATTTTTCTAGTGAAAAGGCTCCCTAGAGGGCCCTTAATAATATTTACTTACACATAGGGGTATCCAAAAGGGCATTCTGCCTGAATACAATAGCGCTATAGGTGGTATACAAATGTAAAGAATTCAAGGGACTCATTAGAAATCTACATACTGTCTTCATTGTAAAATAAAAGGATAGAGGCATTGCCATATCTTGTATTTTCTCACCATTGTCTGGCTAGTCACTCAAGGAGCCGTCATGTGTTGCATAATTAATAGTATACACTTCGATCCGATACCTTTCTTCCTAAAAAAATCTGGATTTGCTTTTTAGGTTTCCTTTTTATGAGAAAAAACGACATGCGCAGGCATCTGATTCTCTTGCCTTGAGTGAAAAAAAAGTGCGTAGTTCGTTTAGCGTTTTATATTTACTGATACATGTAAAGGTACAATTAGTCAGAGATACAAGTCCTGACATTACAAAAGTTACATTTATTAAATCTGGGTAAAAGAACAATGTTAGAATACAACATTAAAAACCTAATGTTGGAGTGTGAAAGTGGATGCATTTGTGTTTTTATGTGTGCATGCACATGTTTTGTTGTCTGCCGAGTTTCCCTTTGGGCATTGCGGTGACAAGATACTATCTCAGTGATGGATACAACTGACAGACAGACAGACAACCACACACACACACACACACACACACACACACACACACACACACACACACACACACACACACACACACACCACACACACACACACACACACACACACACACACACACACACACACACACACACACACACACACACACACACACACACACACACACACACACACACACACACACACACACACACACACACACCACACACACACACACACACACACACACACACACACACACACACACACACACACACACACACACACACACACACACACACACACACACACACACACACACACACACACCTTACGGTACGTACCATCAGTGGCATTCCATTAACAGTGCCTGAGCTAAAATGAGATGGCCTATTTCACTCAAAAGACACTTTGTCAAACAAATGACCTTGCCAAGAGAGAAACGCAACACTGTTGATAAATGTGGCTTTTAAACATACACTTTCAGAAAAAAAGAAGAAAAAAAAAAGGCTGGTGACAACAAATACAGCGGGAATCCATCTCATAAAATATGCCTAGAAGCTTTCATTTGAACAGGCTGTAGACAGCGGCATCAGTCACAGGAACCACTGCTTCTCAGTTCCCATTACCATAAGATAAATTGTGCTTTTTCACAACTAGTTTCCAAAAGAGTTTTTAAATAATGATGGAATTTCTTTTATTGTAGCATTTGTCTACATTCTACACACATTTGACTCGCATATATTGGTTGTAAAGTAACCATTGAACCAGATGTTGTCTGTTTGTGTCTATAAAGTTTCCTTTTTGCAGTGGTTTATTATCGGTAACAATGGTAAAATAGATCCCAGTGATTGCTAGAAGTATTCAATTCAAAACAGTAAGCCAAGTTTTGGCTGAGCTAGTGTATTTTGGATAAACATAAGATGGAGAGTGGAAAAGTGGATTATACTGCAGGAGGGGTTTGATGAGCTTGTTTAGAGGTTTTTGAAACATTTATTCAACAGATATATTTGAAGAGACAAAAAAAAAAATCACCATAACATTTAAATTCCATTATTTAATGTCTTAATATGCTGATAGAAATGCTGACCATTAGTTGGTTCTTTCATACGGACTGAGCTTTCTCAAAGTTGATGTGTTGACTTGCAATAGCAGGAAGTGCACAGGTGTCAGTGACACAACTTGAACAATCAGCTAAGGCAAACAATGCCATCATTTAGGTTATTAGATATGATGAGGACTGCTGTGACCAAGATCTATCACATTCATATTTTTACATTCTTGAAAGCTTTCAAGTACATTTTCAAAAGAAAGGATTTTCCTAGAGCACTTGAGTTATTTCAGGCTTTGCTTTATTTAACCCATAGCAATTCTGAGACTGCTCTCCAGATTTGCTCTTCATTCATTTTCCTCCTGAGGGGCTGACACCAACAGCTGCTGTTTATTGTTGATTTTGAGACAGTTGAACAAGTATTCATGAAAATGTCAAGAAGTAATTCTTCCTTTGACATTTCCACACTTATTCATTCCATGTATTTCAGAACAATACAATTACAGGTTGCGAGGTAGAAAGAGAAGCAGTGGGATGAATCATGACATCCGCTTTTGGATGAAGATGGGCAGATAAAGGAGGCAGACGGACGAGGCCAGGGCTTATCAGGGGGGTTTGTGACGTGTTGTTAACAGGTCCTGGTCAAACAGTTCATTCCTCATTATCTTAATGAGATCGCGACCGCAGAACAAATAAGATGAGACATGCCAGGGTTGGAAGGCAGAGATGAAGTGGTCTGTGCACAGAGTGATGGAAACAAGGGAGAAATAATGTATGGTGAGGGAAGCAGAATCAGCTAGGAGAGGGAGGAGAGAAACAAATAGATACTTAATGGAGAGACTGAAAATGTGTGCAAAAGCAAATGCTTCTTTGTCTGCTAGAAACACGTACGCTGTAGTTAGAGTTGTAACATTTTAGTGTGTGGTACAGTACAGCGTAACATATTTTCCTGATACAAATAGAAGTAGTAGTCATAGTAGTATCAGTAATAATCAAGTACATTTACCATCTATTCATGTTGTTTACAATTGTCATTAAAGCTTAGATTTCTTACTTTAAGAAAGGGTACTGTCAACAATTTACACAACATTCCCTAAGCCAATGACAGCATGGTTTGGGTCACGTTTGTATGCTTTTTAGTTTACAGGGTAATATTTTGATTGCCTAATAAATTCAATTAAGATTTGTAGAGAGTTGGGCCAAATTGTTTTATATTTTTGCTTTACATTCCTGGGTTTCAGTATACAACAATAAAAGACAACACCAGCATCAGTCATTTGTGGAAATGGTTGCATTTGCCTGAGAGTAACGTCTTATGTCAACTCTAGCATGCCTCTTTCTCATACAGAGCAATAAAAGAATGGAACAATATTCAGAATAAACTAAAAGCTAAAGCTGATACTAAACTGAACTTTTTGGGGAAATGTCTTGGTAGTGTTTGCCTTTTCACACAAGGCAACCCACTTACTATTTACATTAAGATTTTGTTCATTTGAACCTTGACCAAAATCTTTATCCTTCATCAAGTCATTCTTCTTAAACCATGGAGACTCTGTAAGACTTTTGCCTAAACCTAACATATCCTAACATAGTGGTGTCATGTCAGAAAATCTAAATTGTTATAATTGTAAAAAGTGTTTAAGACTGGTATCAAGCAACCTTTTATTTGGTGAAGTTAAGGAACTGTTGAGAGCTGGAGGCACAAAAGCTAAAAAAAAAAAGAATTTATAATTTCAAGTCGGTATACTTTTGGTTTACCCCAACTGGTGGTGTGTAGCCCACAGCTGTGTTTCCTTATTGGTTTGGCTTTGGCTGTGTGTGTGTGTGTCTGTATGCATGTATGTGTTACACAGTGTCCTGAAAACAGGTGAGAGGGAGAGAAACAGAGATATAAAACCAAAAACAGGCAGAGAAAGACAGCAATTTAAGTGAGAGAGACTGACAGAGACTTGAGAGCCTCAGAAAGATGACTGAAGGAGAGGGAATAACATGCAGCCCCCCTCCCCACTGATGTCAGCAGTGCATCATTCCATTAGTTACTATGAAAGGTGGGAGGTCGCAGCAGGAGGGTCTGTTGAAAATGTGTTGGGGGTCTGTTGAAAGTGTCTGGAGTTGATATGCACATGTGTGTGTGTGCACTTCACTGTGTGTGTTTCAAGATGTGGTATTTCCACAGATTGCGAATCCTTTTCCAGAGCTGGTCTGGAATCTGCTACATACCTTGTAAAGTGCACTTTTCTCACCATGAATTTGATTAGTGACGGATCATAAACTGGGACCACATACCTTCAGCAATACTTTACCACACTTAAACATGCTTAAACAAGGCGTGTATTACTGAAAATGTTATTATTAGTATTGATTATTTTTCATGATAATGGAAAATGACAACAATGTGTCAAGTCTCCTCTCTGTTTTTGAATTATAATTGTTCTATAAATCTCAGTCTGCAAACAAGGGTTAAAATTAAATGAAAAAAATGCTAAACAATTTTATTTAAACAGATTGCTTTGCATGAATGGCCAGATCATTTTGAAGCATAGTGCAGCTGATGCCGATCAATCAATATAAGCGTGACTTAGTGCTGCGTCTACAATAGCACAATAATTCATTTAATGGATAAACAATGCAGAACCATTCCATGTTCGTGTACCATTGACTGTAAGAGACTTTCTGCTGGATTATAACGTCATTAAAATCCTTTCCTCATGAATTGTGCAGTTACAGTTAGACCTTTGCCAAATATACAGATGATCTTCTCATGAATTATGTGTTTCTACATCATTTTAGTTGATCTTGTCCTTTTGGGTTTGAGGGATCATCATATCAGTCTAATTCAATTATATTTAGTACCAGTTGATCTGATGTGGTTCAATATGAAAGGAACATACATTTACAAAGAAACACATATTTTAGTTTGGGCATCAAACATCCATGATTTTCTAAGTCAATTTGTCTAAAAAACATATCTAGAAAGCATATCAACATACAGTAGTTGCTATGTTGATATGCTTTCTGAAGGCCATTCTTCAACTTCTTACTTACATTTCCTCATTTCAATCTTTCACACATCACAGGTACATGAGTTAGACACAGTTTAGTTAATATGCTTTTATGGAAGCAAACAAGTTTCTCACATACTGTTTATATTTATATTCATATATTAAAAACAAATATATACTTACAGCTCTGACACTGATCCTCCTTGGGTCCCCAGCAACGACCATTACAGGAACGATTGCACTTTTGACCTGCACACAAGTTGAGGGAAAGAGATGATTGGCATTTCAAATGGTTACTTAATCGCAAAATATGATCAGTATCAACCTTCAGAAATCCATATTAGCTGAACCTAAAAATAGGCTGGAGGCTGTTAGTCTGGAGTCTGTGTGCCCTCAAGCACTACGTTGAAGCCCAAATTGATCCAAAAAGTGAGTGAAGCTGTAGGTGTTTCTTTGAGTCAACTTTAAAATCTGTGTATTTTATAAGCAACATGATTATATTAACTTGAAGTGTTTTTCTTGTCAGGCAAGACTTCCAAATAAGTGCATTTCAAGGATATTTTGTGTGCTTGATAATTATTATAATTAGAATCTGACATAATTAACGCAATCTGCAAGAGATGTAGGTGTTGTAATACTTCACAGGACGGCTGTGTAGTTAACTATACAACGATGATGATGTTGATAATAGCTATTCATTGATTATATTCAAATATAATGCTTTCAACTTTTTCTTTAACTGAATTTTTTTCAAGGATTCCTATTACAAGTGCAGTGCTTGTTTAAAATGTACCTATTTACAACAGGCCTGATTGCTGTGCGTTCTGTTTTGCTTGTTGAGGTTGAGAACCCTCATTGAACAACTTTATTGCGCTTCCCTGGTTCCTGAGCAATACACATAGTTGCATTCCCAAGCAATGCTATACAGTAATTTACCCGTCAAAGAACGAGCTGAACCTACAGTAGCATACCATTTGCCCAAATAACACTTACTTTCTACTTCCTTTAGCTGCTAACCGGTGTCCCCTCTCAGTAAACAAGGAAGTTTGTACATAGCACACTTCTAATTAATATCACCATTGGATCTCAATAGCTCACACTCTACACTGCACTTTCTTTGGTCCTCAGCAATATACCCGCCAAGTGTGATCGGATGACAGACATCCAGACAGACAGATCTTTTCAGTTTTTTGCATTTTACAATGAAGATGATGTAATTCGCCGTCCACCAGTACCATTTTGTACATGCTGTCCCAGTCTTACAACCTTGAATAACCTTGACAAAGACGTTCCTTGATGCTGGTCCACTTTAAATCTCCCCAGCATGAAACAAGCACACATCAGGTTGAGATAAAAGCAGTAAAGCGGCAGGAAGCAGCAGCAGAAAGCAGCATCATACCCTCAGAGCTTTAGCCAGTGCCTTTCTGTTTTTTTGGAGGACTTAATTGACTGTCTGGTAATTGACTGCGAGGGAAGTGAGCCTGGATAAGTGCAGAAGTGCTGTCCTCTGTCCATCAGCCTCTCCAGATGAGAGCTATTAGCACCGATACTGACTCTATTCCCCAACACGAGCCTCTCCATCTTCTGCCCTCTTCTTCCTCCTCGTCTGTGCCCCTCCACACATTTCATCTCTTTCATCCACTATCCACCACTCGCTGATTCATCTCTCTTCTGTGGCTCTCTTTTACTTAATGTCTATCCCTGTCTCTCTTTGCCTTTTTACAGTCAGCCCCTCTTCTTTTCTCTGCTCCTCCAGTCCCTTCCTCTCAAACTAGCACGTTGACAACGGTTGAGAAAGAGAGGTTGACAGCCTTGACTGTATGAAAAGCAGCACACAAACAGGATAATAGTACAAATGTCAGCCAGTGATAAGTGGTTGTCTGACATTGTCAAGTGTGCCGAACCTCTGCTGTACTCTGTTATAACTCTGTTCTCCTCTACTCCTGGCACCCGGCAAAAAGTCAAGACAAAGAGTTTTCATTTACTGTCCAAGGTCTTCACTATCTCAACTTATACATTCTCAGTGACCTAGAATAAACCTGTCCCACCCCTCTTACTGCACCATAATCTTTTACAGCTTTCTTAAAACAGCCGCCGAAGGTTAAAATGTCGGAAAATGCTGCCATGCAAGGGCCAGTATGGGGTAATAGACAGATGGCTTGTCTTCAACTGAATCAACGGGGCATAGATTTTAAAATTACTGTGCTGTTTTTTAAAAAGACAACCAAAATAAACAACAACCGCAGCACAAATAAGTAATTATTGTGTCTTCCCATAGAATGAAATGTAGATTATGTTCTCAATTGTGGATTTCAGGTTTGGAGACCCTTGATCTTGAAGCAGAGTAGAAGACTTGCACAGGAGTAAGGGGTCGATCCAGGGCTAACAGGCTGCAGGGAGGAGGTTGATTGAGCAGAATATCAATGCTTGGAGCTGGTAATCTGCATGTGAAGCCCTCAGCAAGTGAGAGGGAATCCAAGGCCATGGGCAGAGACTGCCTTTTTTTCTTCCATAATGATTAGGCCTTTGAATGTGTAATTTTCTATTGTAGAGGTATAAGACGAGACAGCTTTAAAAAAAAAAGAGAAGAAAAACAACAACAACGGATTTAAATGTCAAACAGCTTGAGCACTAAATTAATAACAGAAGCTGTGTGTGTTAAGATCTTAAATCAGTGATTGAATAGAAAAGGGTCAGATGAGGTGATTTAATGAATCTTTACTTCACTCACTGCCACCTCCCCCCCCCCCACCCCCTTACAGATTAAATATGCTTTATAATTCTTAACATTTAATAAAGTGTCTTCCAGCTGGCCACAGTGGGGCCTTATTATGACATGAGTGAGTATCATTATGCGATGGTTATGGTAAGTAAAGTGACAGAATGGGGTCAAGGAGTGCTTTTGTGATGAGAATGTTTTGCTGCCCACATCAGTCAATGGAGCAGTTTAAAATATGGAGTCTTCTTTGTACAAATGTTCCAGCCCCATCTGCTTTTTGAAATGCCTGAAAGCCTAACCATATTTCTTAAAACCTAACTTTTGGTCTGCTCAAAATCCTCTAAGTTTGAGTTCCCTGCAGACAGAGCTGACTATGCTTTAAATAAAGATTGTTTAATACAAATGAGTCATCACATATGCAGTCATGAGCCAGCCTCATTAGCAGGGTACTCTGCCACAACTAGCTTCCAGGTGTGAATGAGTAAAAGTGTGAATGCTCTCAGTTAAACATTCATTAAATGAAAGGTTGAAATTAAAACATGTCTTTTACACTTTGTTGGGTTACTTACATGAGACACTACTGTTGGTGGGCACCACCACAGCATGCATCCGAGGGTTTTTTACAATGTCCTGCCAATGGATTGTGTCCGCATGACACAGGAACTTGTTCTTGTCAACATACACGCCTCCACTCAGGATCTCTGTGGAGAAAAGAGAGCACACATTCAATGATGATACACAAAGGGCTTCCTGGGGACTTTTTCTGATGGGCAATGCACCTAATTCATCAATCCTGCTACCAGGCTCCTGATGTGATTTTTGAATTACAAGCGTTCCTCCCCAGCATCATTTTGTAATTAACAACTGACATGTCCAGACACTACACTTTACCAATATTGGAAAGACACCCTTTCCTTTTCTTTCCATCTTGTATTGTGGTATGGCTTGGGAACCTGAATCTGGCAAATAAGAACAGACTTGCTCGGCTTTTCAAAGTGAGCAGCACAGTTATTGGGGTTAGTCAGCTGCAGCTCTCTGACCTCTAATATAGGCAAGACCTAAGAAAGGTTCAGGCCATATTGCCATGTCCTGATCACCCCCCTCCCCTGTAGAGATAATTGGAGCTTCTACTTTCAGGCTGAAGATGCAGACTTCCCAAAACCATATACACCGTGTCCTTTGTGTGCTCAGCAATAGTTTGCTGATTTTGCACATGTGAACTTGGCCCCTACATGTTTTCAGCATTCAGCTACTGCATTTTAACCGTTAAGATTGTGCATTATGTTCATTTTTTGTGTGTTTTGGTTCTTGGTGCAACTCACATTTCTCCTAGTGTGAAAATACAGTTTGACTTGAGGCAAGAGCAGGATTTGGGTTTTGGTTGGAACAGCTTATCTTGAGACATATACAACAAATGAAGGTTGTTGCAGGGGTCAGGCAGGCAGGACGAAGCTGTGTCATATTACCATTTTTTGTTTTCGCATCCTTCTATTCCCACACTGGGAAACAGATCAATTATGCCTCACTACAACAACAAAATCCATCTGGAAGGGACAGCAGCCCTTACAAGTTTGTAATTTTATATTTCATGAAGGTGGTGGAGAAAGAATCATGTGTCCTGTCATCATAATATGCATCACCTTGTCCAACCAATGATTGCAGTGGTTTTATTCATTTTGTCACACACACACACACACACACACACACACACACACACACACACACACACACACACACACAGTCTGTTGAATTATTGGATACGGAGGGTGGTTCCGATTATTGTTATGCAGGACTTTAGAAAATGCCTAATCCTGACTTTTATGTGAGAAAGAGTGGGAAAAAACAGAAAGAAAGACGAATAAGGACGAGAAAAAGCCACAGAGAGACGGAAGGCAGGAAAGAAAGCCCTACAAACAGATTACTGACACAGGGCTGAAACTGACAAGACACATAATCATACACGGGACGCCCTGCAAGCACCACATTGCAACAGCCAAATACAATATCATCCCACAAAGACCTGATCTAGTGATTATTTTTGGATAATAGGTTGTGGTGTTACCTACACAAGCATCCAACCTCAGCTCTCCTTCTCTATCTTTCTGCACGTTTGGTGGGAGTTGGGGAAAGAAATTAATCCTACCTCTCACCACAGGAGGGATATAGCTCGGCTAGGAGGAGGTCGTGTCTCAAATTCTAATTGTTTGCACAATAAGATGCTGCTGGCTAAGTAAGGCAATAGCCAAACCAACACAAAAGGCACAGCAGTTGTTATGACAAAATGCCAACAGGACATATCAACCCTGGTTAAGCAAGATAAAAATACTTCCTCCTGGGTATTCACCTTTGTATGGCTCATGGGTCTGTAATCGGAGCACTGCATGTTAAGGTGCATATCCGAGACATATTCAAATGTATATGCATTTTTTGTAACCATGTATGAATAAAGAACATGTCGTAGCTAAAGCATCACCAGGACCAGCATTTCAAATAAAACACATTGCTTGCCTATTGCTTGATAGCTTTGACACCATGATGAAAAATGTAACATGGATACATGTAGAGGCAGTTTAAAAGGATCCAAACCTGATATATATCGACTGGACAATTATTAAAGAAGGCTATAATTTCACATTTCCTTTTCACCTGAGTTACGACTTTATTCTCATTGGTGGATCCAACCACCGTTTTTCATGAATCTAATCTGGGTACGCAAACAAAAAATTTGAATTTAGGTACCAACTCTTGCCAGGATTATTAAATGTGTGGTAAACAAGTGAGACAAGGTGTTTTGACTAATTCCAGCTGGATGGGAGCAGCATTCACACTCTCAAACACATTGTATAAACAGACTGGCAAAAAAACCACTCTCTGTTCAACACTGTCACAACAAGTGACCCTCAACACCATCCAAAGGGGTTCCACCATCTTGTAATGCTTCCTCGCACATATTATACATTTGGATCTGCACACACATACACACACTTATAGTACACACACTAAAGTGCAGTGTGACATGACCAAGTTCAAAATGCTGGAAAACTGTTTAATTGGCTCCTTGCTGGTGCTTTGCCCAGGACAGTTACAGCATTTCCCATGGCCTCTGTCACCAATATTTGAATAATTAACACAAATATATTGCATAACACTCACAACATGCAGAACTTGTGCAAGCGTTCGTTTTCATTACAAGTAAATGCTTGGCATGCACATTTGCTGGGTGTTCAGTTGGTGGCCAGGGGGAGATCAATGGTTAAATCTTTGTTGTTGATTGTTTAGTGGGTAGAGAAAAAATCTTAATTAGTTTGTTCATGTAGCTAAAGCTGGTCTCTCCATACTACCCCCTCCCCTCTCACTTCATCCTGAGAGCAACTCCTGCCGTCTCTGAATGAGTGTATGGCTTCTAAAGGCAATCTTCAATATCAGGATGTATGACCGTTGGATTAAAACAATATAAAATTCAAGGAGGCAGAACAAATGTATGCAGGCAATTATTTTGATGGTAAGTGCCGGTTGTGGTATTTTTTTCCCTTTATTGCAGTGTAGGGATGACTTTGATTAAGACTGGGAGGCAAATAGCAAACCAATGATCAGAAAAAAAAGCCATATTAATGAGTTTATGAGAGTGCATTTATAAGTGGTGTGTGGATTGTTTAATGAAGAAAAATGTAGGACAAAAATAACTTTAGTGTTGGAGGACTACATTATCAAACTTTTGCAATCAGAACACAACAAAAAATACATGAATACAGATATTCTACTCCTTTCAGGCGGCAAAATACACTGTACACATAACGTGCAGAAAAACCAGCCAGCTTGAAAAGGAAACAGTAACACAGTCAGCAAAACAGTAGTTAAAAAGATAGAATGACTGTAAAAGATTCAGGAAGAAACTCAAACAGTCAGGCAATTACAGTAGATAGACAGGTATTCAATCAGAAAGACAGGGGAGTTTCTCCTCTCCTCGATCAGCGGGCCTGGGGATTTCACCCTGGGACTTCACTGTACTGTCTTATTGACTCCAAGAGCTTCAACTTGGTCTCGGCTCAGCGCTGCTATCAGCTCAGTGGAACAGAGGGGAGAAACTCTGCGGGAAGATGAAGATACATTCTGGGTCAAAGAGGCTAAATGCTGGGGCGCAGATCCTGCTGTACACCCCAGCAGCAGTGGAAGGCAGAAGTTGTTGCTAGGATTCACTGAACAGACAGACCAGCATAACTGCCACAATAAGGGGATGAGTGCACGCATAGAGACATTTCTCAGAAAGAAACATGTTAAAAATACATTTACATATACACATGCTTGGCTCAGGGTTGGCAGTAATGAGGCCCGCAATACTATACGTGCTTTGAGCATCAATTTAGTAACCATTGGACTTTATCAGTGGCCTTGTAACTCGAAGGACACTAATTATAAACCCTACAACATTAGTGGCAATGTAGGTAGGAATGTCAGCTGTATTTTACCGGCTTTCTTTGAATGCTATTATAAAAATATGTCAGTGGAATTGAATTAAATATATATGTCTGGGAAGCGCACAATAGCCATGTTGCTGCGCCCTTACCAACTACGGATATAAAAGGAAAATAAGATAATCAATACGTAGTTCCATAGCGAAAACAGAAAATGAGAGTGTTATGCACACTCACAGAAAACTGAGTGCAGAGAAAAGAGAAAACAACATTCAAGGAGAACTTGACCACTTCAATTTCAACAATAAATGTATAGATGAAAGAATGAGTGAGTGAAAAATAAAAATTGTACATACTGTTTGGATAGATAAAGAATAAATTACATAGAGTGATGGATGGTCACTTATGGGAGAATGAATGACATCTCTTTTATCAGCCTCATCCATCAGTGTATCTATTCATGCGTCGTGATAGATGATGGCTACAGAAAAATATAATGAGAAAGAAGAAAAAAATCTAAAGCATGTCTAAAATATGGTTGCAAAGGATGAATATATGATGCATGAATTAGTGAATGGATCTGGCTGATGAAGCAGTCCCACTCCAGAGGCTGCATCCTCTTCAGCACTCCTACACCCACTTCTAACAAAATCATAAACAACCAGCCATGAGTTTTAAGAGAAGTTTTCTTCCAGGTTTCCAGACGCTGCTCATGTTGCCACGCATGTGCTGCGTCAATCACTGTGCTCTGAGTTGCTCCGTTTCAGACAGGAGACGTCAGGACAGCAAATCTCTGCCTTTGCTCTACAAATAGGTGATCTCCCCTCACATCCATCATCTGCTGCAGATTCATACTTCCTTCCTTGCCCTCCAGTCCCCACTGTTGCCAAGGAAATGCTTGCGTCATCCAGGTGCAAAGTGCATGTGTGTATTTGTATGTATTTGCATTGAGGGAAAAGACAAGAACAAGATAAATGAGTTCACACAAGTACAGGGATTTGCCTTTTATATTCATGTGTACATGGACGTGTACGAGAGGAAGAGACAGACCATGAGAAACTCTGTGCATACAAAGAGGGAACTCTGTGTTTGTGTGTGTGACAGAGCATTGTTCAATTCTTTTTAGATCTTCCGTTCCATGCGTGTGGATGGAGATACTCGATTACTCAAATGCATATATATTTTTCTATCATCTTAATGACAGAGTTCGTTGTCTCAATAGATAATGATATGTCAAAACAAATCATTTTGTGGGGTTCCACAAGGTTGAGTGGTAGGACAACTACTCA